TTTTTGGACTCCTGGTCCCACCCTGGCGGGTCACCATGCTGTGAGTACATGAATGCCTGCTGTGTGGTTGGCTGATTGTTCTTTAGGGATGCTGAAATGACTCTGATGACATTGTGTCCACCATCTTTACTGTCCCCGAATGCCATCTCCCTGCAGAGACATTGTTTCTTTAGCCTGGTACAAATGTAGACCAGCCTGTCTCCTGTCTCCTGTGGGAATGATGAGTTTTGCTTTAGAAGGTTCCTAACTGGTGCTAGGCAGTTGTTTGTGGCTTAGGCCGTTCTAAGGTCCTAGGAACGACTTTAATGTTGAGAGGTTTTTCTTGGGTGGCATTTAGGAATGTAATGTGACGGTATGCTTCCTGCCCCTTCCTCACTCAAGCCTGTAAGGTGCACTTTTTCAAGGATGGAATCAGTGCTTAAGTTTGAGATGAAAACTCATACAACTCATAGCCACCCACCTTTATCAGACATTTTTAAAACATCCCACAAAGGTCTTTATCTCAGAAGACCTGATCCATTGGGTCATCATACTGTTCTTTTTATGTAGTGATTCCTAGACTAAAATTTGGAGTTAGAATTTGTGTGGGAAATGGATAGATTTTCTTTGCTTTTCCAAGAGGGTACCACCTAAGGCAAGTGTCCTTTAATAATAAATGGCCGGGGAATAAGATGGGTCTGAGACTCTTGATGTTACAAGGTACTTATCAGAACCTCAGATAAAAGTGTCACCGTTGTACAAATCATCCCTGCCATGAGACAGGGTCACCTCATTTCCAGATCCAGTTCCCAAAGTCTCACGGCAGCTTCCGGTATGAGCAGCAGCAGCGGGAGTTCTGTCTCCACGTGACATTGCTGGGGCTCCGCGGTTAGATTCATCCCGTGCAGGAAAGCTTCGTCTTTGTCTCACTCATGGTTGAACGGCCACTGTTGCAGTCTTGGAGCGACATAAGAGGCATCACAGCATGCGCAAACTGCTGCCGGTGCCATTTGGAGAACAGCTTTTTAAATTCATTCTCAGGAGACTCGATGGCTATTCCTTACAGTAACCCCTGAGTATCGTTAGTATCGCACTTTCCTCTACTGTGGGAGCTAGAAATGAACTCCTAACTCGACACATTTATGGGTGTGCCATTATCAGCTCTGCCTCTCTGACCAGCTATGTTTTTGTTCTAGTGCCTTCCGGAGGAGTGGAGTTCATCCTCTCCCTACACAGCAAGCCATACTGTAAAGATAGCCAAGGCGAAAATGGTGCGAAGCTAGTCCGCCGCCAGGGTCCCTGCTACCAGGGTTCCTGCTGCCAGGGTTCCTGCCCTGCACCCTTGCACCGATGCACAGAGCATTCCCAGGTGCCACGGGCTGCACCTGGAGACGGAAAGCCAGTGTGTCCTGTACAGAAGTAAACTGCACCCATCTGGCCATGGTTGTCTCACCCAAAAATGCCCCTTTTGCATTTTGTCTGTGTCTGAATATATCATATTTCATAAGCTGCCTCCTCCATCTTGAAGGTGGTGCTGAAGTCACCCCAACCCGAGCAGTTCAGTTCTTTGAGAGGCCTTTTCCGCTGGCAGGAGCTGCCCATGCTAGGCATGCCACAGGCGCGAGCGTGCGTGTAGACCCTACCCATGCGTGTCTGTGTGGGTCGTTCTGGCCTAACTGGATATCGCTGCATGCCCATTCTGTTCTGGAGAGACTCAGATGTCTGTCCCCTTAGCGGGTCTGGGCTCCATGGGTCCCTCACTGAGAATCCCAGTTTGGTCATCCTTGTGGCTTCTGATTCTGCCTGGGACGACAGCGCGCTTTCCCGAGGGGAGGGGGCACTGCGGAGCGAGTCCTTCTCGCCTCCTGGGTTCAGCAGTTACTTCACTGGAACCTGGGAAAGCAAATGCTATTGAATGGTGGCGTCTTTGCCTTGCACTTGGCTTTTGGTGTTTTGAGGAGAGAATCTACTCATTACTAAGGGACAGTGTCATCTGGGAGAGGAGGGAACAGGAAGGACTCTCTCTCCCTCCCCCGCCTTCTCCCCTCCCCCTCCCTCTCCCTCAGTCCATCCTGCAGTCATATTTACAGCCAGATTAACAACAGTTCAACTTGGCCTTGCGCATGCTAGGCAAGTGCACGACCACCGAGCTGCCCTCTATGTCTGCAGCAGTCTGTACACATTCCTGGAATCCCTTTTCCCCTGAGAACTGTGTCGTAGTGTTGCCTCTTCTCTGTTGAAAACTTACCCAAGCAGCTATTCGTTAATCATTTTATTGTGATTTACAATTTGACTTGGACAAATCAGGTTAGATTCTGTAACAAAGGAAAGAAAAGGCAGTTGCAGAAGAACTTAGCCCCTGGATTCACCCAGAGAGTGCCGGAGCTTTCTGGAACCTTCTGAAGGCCCTGTTGTCCAGCAGTGACCTCAGGGCTCCTCGCTTGTGCCACTCAGAGCTTTGTCCTGACTATCTAGGAAAGTTGCTTTTCTCCAGGTGCTGCTGCCTGCCATGCTGAAACACCTCTGCATGAGCTACTGGCATGAATACTTTGAGAAACAGACCAATGTGTTGTCACAAAAAGGCACTTTCGGAATCCATTGATCCCCCTGCTTGTCCTTTCATGTGTGTCCTCAGACTCTGGCTAGCTATTATTTTTCCCATCCTGCTAATATTCTATAAATAAATGCTCCTTCTTCATTTCCCTCCCAGCTTCCGCACCAGGATGTCATTTCCTTCCCACCTGGAGGGCCCTGGAAGAGCAATTCGAAGCCCGGGCCTTCCGAACTTGGTGACCTTCTCTGACACTTGGCTCTCTTGAGTTACTTTTCCTCATCTGTGTAACAAGGGGATTCCCCGGTGTAGCTAAAAATTTTACAAGTCTTGAGATTTTTCTCTTCTCTGGGGCTGTTTGATAAAATATAGGAAGAACCACCCCCAGTTCCTGGGTGACCTGGAGCCAGGGATGTGATCGGTACAGGGGGCACCTGACCTGGTGGCCCTGGTGGGTATGGAGGCGTGGACAGGTGGGGAGGTGTCCTAAGTGGTTGGAGAGGCACGGGCTCTTCCAGACCTGTACTCCACTGAGATTGTTAATCAGTCGCTTAATTATAGCTGAGCTAGGTCAGCAAGGTATCATTGGATGACAAAAACGAAAAATCAGTGATTTTTGTTGTTTTTTCCCTTAGTAGCCAAAAGTCATGATGATAGCTTATCCCTGCAGATGCCAGGTGGTGGTTGTTTCTTAGTAAACTATTAGATAATGGTTTTAAATTCACATAAAAATGGTGAGGGTGGTATGGAGAATTCCCATATATCCTGCCCCTAGTTTCCTGTTATTAACGTGTCCTAAAACTGATGAAGCAGTGTTCATACGTTATTGTTAGCTCACATGCATGCTGTCCTCAGACTTCCTTAGTTGCCCCTGTAGCTCTTTTTTCCATGCTAGGATCCCAGACAGGATACCGCGTTGCATTAGGTCATATGCTTCTTTGAGGTCTTCGTAGCTCTGGCAGTTTTGGGCTTTCCTTGTTTTTGTTGGCCTGGACGGTTTTGAGAAGTATGTGTAGGTGTTGTGTGGAATGTTGCCCAGCTGTAATTTATTGGTAGTTTCCTATTAGACTGGGGTATGGGTTGAGGGGAAGCGAAGGAAATAAACGTGCTTCACGTCTGCCTCAGTCACGTTCTTGTTGCTGGGACACAGTACCCAGTGCCCACATCTTAAAAGAGGACAGATTTACTTTTGGCTCACAGTTTATAGAGGTTTTAGTCCATAGTTGGCTGGCTCTAAGGTGGGATGACATGGCACAGGGGTCTCGTAGACCAGAAGTGGAGAGAAAAGGGAGGAACCAGAGGGAGGTAAGCCCTTCCAAGGTGGACCCCCAGTGCACACTCTGTTCTAACCAGACCTCACCCCCTGACAGAAGTCACCAGTAAGCACTGACAATCTAGCCACCTTTCAAAAACCCAACCTATGAACACATGAGGCTCTTGGGAGACGTATATGAACTGTGGCGTTGTCCCATCATATTGTCAGTATTGCTTTGCACTGTTGGTGCTTACCTTGATCTCCTGAATGAGACTGTGTTTCTCAGGACTGGGGTGGGAAACCCTTCTTCCTAGAGCGTGGTTGCTAGCGCATCTGCCCCAGGCCTCGTTGGTTTCATCCTGGGAAGGTAGGCATGTAGGTCATAGGACAGTAGTTGAAAGCTACCCGCGCATCACAGTCTCGCAGTATGCCTGGTATCCTGAGGCCCGTGTGGGGTGTGTTCCGTGTGACAGTGGGTGGCGTGAGGCAGTGTGTGGGTGCACATGTCCCGTCTCTCCTGAGCACTCAAGTATGTCACACAGCACCAATACTTGGGCCCAGGAGAGAGGGCTTTCAGGAATACTGAGTTATAACAAGCTCTCACTTGAAACAATTCAACGTTATTCTGTTCTGGGCCCAGCTGTACAAGTGGGAACAACATAGTTCTTGCCTTCCCAAGATCCTAGAAAGATCTCGAAAATCCTGTCATTGCTATTCAAGGCCTCTGAGTTTTAGTTAAATTAAGGTACAGTTTGATTTGCCTTCCATTACAGTACGGTATACTTAAAATAACATCTTGTTTATCTGTAAGTTATATGATTACAAAGGGCAGAAACATGTCATTAATTGGTGTTTCCTGTACTACATAACTTCTGCCCATAGAAGGTTCTCCACTGAGAACTGAAAAGAGGATCAGAAACCTCGGAGTAAAGGCAGCTGGGTGTATGGGATGGTTTCTCTTTGCATTAGACAAGACTTGGGTTCTGGCACCTGATGGTAAATCTCTTTAGGTACCAGGAATCGAACTCATGACCTTGCACTTGCCAGGCAGGTACTGTGCCACTGAGCTGTATCCCCGGCCCCACCTGATGGTAGAATGCTAAGAATTTAGGGCATTTTGGCAGGAAATGTGTTCACTTGTACATATGATGAGGCTGATGGGGGAAGCACGTAGCAGTGATGAAGCACCTTTGTTCTTTTTTTTTCTTTGGACAGACTCGACCAGCACAATGGAGTGCAAAGTCCTGCGCGGCCTTGGTCACCAGATGCTGCGAAGGAAGGTGGTAGACTGCAGCAGGGAAGAGAGTCGGCTGTCCCGCTGCTTAAACACCTTCGACCTGGTGGCCCTTGGGGTGGGCAGTACGCTGGGCGCTGGTGTCTACGTCCTGGCCGGGTCTGTGGCCCGCGACAACGCCGGCCCTGCCATCGTCATCTCCTTTCTGATCGCCGCGCTGGCCTCAGTGCTGGCTGGCCTGTGCTACGGCGAGTTCGGTGCTCGCGTCCCCAAGACAGGCTCGGCCTACCTCTACAGCTACGTCACTGTGGGCGAGCTCTGGGCCTTCATCACCGGCTGGAACTTGATCCTCTCCTACATCATAGGTAGGTGCCAGCCGGCCCGCAGCTTGCGCCCTTTACCCGCTCCTGTTTGTTCCCGCCTCCAGGGGTGCCCCTGCTGCCCAGAGGTCCTCTCAGCGTGACTGCCGCGTGGAAGGTCCTACGCTGCCTGTGAGTGTCGCTGTGGCAACGGCTGGAGCGGGAGCAGCCCAGGCCAGCGAGGAGTCCATTCCTGTAACCTGAGAGACAGAATTAGCAGGGTGCTTCCTAGTAACTAGAAAGTGACTATTGATGTAGTAGTATTTTTTCCTGATTATTAAATATGTCACCAACAGAAAAAAATATGTTTATCACCAAGAGAAAAATTTAGGAAATACAAGAAGTATAGAGAAGAAAGGAATATCCAACCTGACAACCCAGAGAATACTCTCCATTCATTTGTTCTTTCTTGTAATAAATACAGTATTTATTGAGTGGTTGCCCCATACTGGGCATTTGGTAGGATGTTAGGGATTACACAGGGGAGTAAGGAGTCTGTTAAGAGTTTACAGTCTAGAGGAAGACTGTTCGTACTTTTGTGAATTTACCATAGAAAGCATACAAATTTATATAAGTTCACTGGATGGCCTTGTGGGATGTTGAGTCTAGTTCCAGATATGTTGGTGTTGTTGTAAATAGTTAATTACTTTGTCTCTAGTCATGGCCATAATTTTTTTCCCTTAAAACTGTCTTAAAAAGCAAAATGCATATTTTTAAGGGCTTTGTCAGTGCTGTCTTCATCCTGGTATGGGTCCCTTTCCTCACAAAGCTGGACATTAGTGTTAAAACAGCCGCCCAGCAGAGAACCAAAAAAATAGTCTTTTTAGTTTGGTGGGTAAAAACGACTCCTGTTCTCTCCCTGTCTCTCTCTCTCTCTGTCTCTTTCTCTCTCTCTCCTCCGTTTATTAAACAAGAGCTCCTTCATTACTATTTAATACAATATTTATGAGCTATTAGTGTTGAAACAAAACGATAAATTTAAATACCAGGACATGTGCTCTGAAAACTTCATGCACTGGTTCTCTTTGTGTTTTTTGTATTATGATTATAACTGAAGTTGGCCATGTCAGTGTAAAAGAAGGAAGTACCTGAATGTAATAAGAATCGGCAAAGCATATGAGTGACTACTCCACAGAAGTAGAAATACAGGTGACATTCAATTTGTTTTCTAGCAGGCTTTCTTTAATATTGCCCCAAAACTTGTGAGATGCACTAAGTGAAGCCACATGGCTCCTGCTTGCTTCTGTGTCGTTCTCTGGGGGACCCTGTGTACTTCCCACACCCCATGTATGGTTCTAGGTTCTTGACCCAGAGACCCTTGAAGTTCTTGTGGTCTCAACTCTTGAATAGGAGTCACCACTTCTACTTCACCGGGCAGCTAGCAGAACTTGTGCTCAGAGGGGCTGGGGATTTAGCTCAGCGGCAAAACGCCTGCCTAAAAAAAAGAACTTGTTCTCAGGGCTGTGGGGCACTTTCTCTTTTCTGGAATGTAGTGTCTGCTGAGAGCCAATGGAGCGTCTTCTTTCAGGTTCTAAAATAAAATTTGTAACATTTTTTTTCTGTGAAACATCAAAATTTATAACCACAAAAGGCACTCACATACTTAATTCCCTTAGTAGGAATGTAGCTATTCTAAATGGACTGTTACGTTTCCAGAGGATTTACCTGGGCCTAAAACAAAACACCGAGCATAAAATGTTTGCTGCTTCTAGACCCAATGCATAAAGAATCTTTGCCAGAATGCTAGTTGCCTATGCAAGAACTCACACACGTTTCATGGAAATTTATTCTCAGCCTTAGCTACTGTGAAGAATAATTTTTCCAGCTAATTTTTTAAAGCCATGATTGAGAATTGGGAACAGGATCAGCTGGAAAGAAAGACCGGTCAGCCCCTGGCATCCAGCAGGGTGAGGTTTGGGAGCCCTTGTACAGTGAGTTGGGTGCCCTAGGGGCACCAGGGAGACAGTGAGACCATTTTTCTTCATTAGGTTGTGGCCTTCGTGGACAGAATTCATAATAGATTGATGTTCAAGATAAAAAAATAGTTAAATTTTTGAGTTTTGGAAAAACACTTAGCATGAGAACACATAATGAAACTGGATCTCTGTTCAGGTCACTTTGGAAAAATTCTATGGGTAATTCAGACCATAGGGACCAGCAAGGCCTTTTGAAAATAAAGGAAAACGCTATATGCAGATATTGGAATTTTCGTGACATTTCCTGACAAACCACTGGAAGAGCGGTGGCTCTCTTCAAAATTAAAAGTGAGAGAGGGTCAGAGAGAGGCAGGCCATTTGGGGTATGGCCTCTGCTTGTGTTCATGTGGCTGGGAGCTGGGGGTTCTTGGAGATGGGGTTCCCCGGGCAATGGTCCTGAGCTGTTGGGACACTGTGGCCTCTGGGTCAGATGGTCTGAACCCAGGTTTAAGCCCAGAGCGGCGAGTTGCTGTTGCCTGCTCTGGTATGAGTGGTGGCTTTGTCCCAGAGATGGGGGTCAGCCTCCTTGCAGCTGTCCTTAGAGAGGAGTTCTGGGGTATAGGTACTATCAGCGCTGCTGCTGTGGATTTTTGGAGAAGTTTCTTCCTAAGCAGAGTTTCTCCAGCGTTCTGACTGTGCTTTGAGGTGCATGTGAGTCAGTTCTGGAGTTATCACTGCCATTATTTTTTTAATAAAATCAAATAGGTAGAATTGAATAAATGCTGTCAGTGTGCCTCTTAAGTGGAAAGGGAAACTCGTTTTGTAAACTTCTTCTGATATGAATCATCTGTCTATCTCTCTCTCTCTCTCTCTCTATCTCATGGGTTTCTAGTACACAGACAAATGCCTCTCAGCTTACAGTGGGGTTGCACCTTGAGAAACCCATCAGAAAATGAGGCTGCTGTGAGTTGGAAGTGCAGCACTGCACCTCACTCATCCTATAGCCTGGTCAGCAGCACAGCTCACTGTGAACCCTTCTGATCCTGGAGCTGCCTGGGTGCTGTGATTGCTGCTGCCGCCCAGCATTGAGATAGGGTCATACCAAATATTGCTAGCCCCAGAAAAGATCCAAATTCAGAATTCAAGTACAGTTTTCAGTGAATACATGTTGTTTTATATCATCTTAGAGTTGAAAAATCCTATGTTGAACATTTATGAATCAGGGTAAAGGTACATATCCGAAACACATGACATATATGCATATTGGGTTGAGATGTGACACGCACTTCCTTCCAGCCCCTATGAGTCTCTGCTTTTTACTTCACTCCAAACACCGGTTGATACTCCCTCTGGCTTAAAGCACTGGGAGGTTCATGCCATCTCTGAACTGTTGTGGGTACCATAAATGTCAAGCTTGGTGACAGACACTGTTAACCATTGCGATGACAACCTTGTGTTTTGTGGCAGGTACTTCAAGTGTAGCGAGAGCCTGGAGTGCGACCTTTGATGAGCTGATCGGCAAACCCATCGGGGAGTTCTCACGAAAACACATGGCCCTGAATGCTCCCGGGGTGCTTGCCGAAACCCCCGACATATTTGCTGTGGTCATAATTCTCATCTTAACAGGTAAAGCCACACCTTAACAAGGAGACTGGTTTGGAGCAATGGGTACGTGCTCCATGACAGGCTGCGATTAGGTTTGTTTCTTCCTCTCTGTCACTCTGCCTCTGTCTGTCTCTTTTTTGTTTATGTTGTAGCTGGAATCCAGGGCCTTGTGCATGCGAGGCAAGTGCCCTGCCACTGAGCCATATACTCCTGTGCCCTCTTTATTTCTTTTCTTACCTTCACGGTAGGGCCCCCATTTTTTGTTTGTTTCTATAATGCACACAGACATCTCTGTTCATACTGACTTACAGATTCACACAAGGTTGGCTGAGTTCTGTGCCATTTGATGAAAAGGAATCTCAGTATAACTGTTTGTGGAATGGGATTTGGTCAGCACTGAAGCTTGTTTGTACAAATGACTCAGGAATAAAAATCCTTTGGACTCAGTGGATGACCATTTGGAAAGAAAAGTGGTCATTTGCCTGTCAGGAAAATGGGGAAGGATGAGCTCTGTCTGGAACATTGATGTGTGCTTAGGTATCTGAAGATGTTTAGAGTGGCTGTATGCTCCACAACCACCAAAGCACCCTTTCAGTTGTAAATAAATTGTGGCTACAGAATTTTTACACTCCAGATACCATTTGACACAGCCAATGCCTTCTTCTTGTTCGTGACATTCGTCTGGGTCTCATCCACTAGGATGGGAGTTTTCCTTCTTGGAACACTTACTGTATGTACATGAGACTGAAATGCAGACAAATTTTCATCTGAGGTTAGAAAATCTTGGACAAGTTTTAAAAACAACATGCCTTACCTTCCACACTGTGTAATTGAAATAATTTTGCACAGGCCTGTCTTGGCAATACATTCAGTCCAGCTGGCAGAAACATGTATCAGAAAATAATTTTGCTCTACTGTAGTGAGATTCTCATTTTCATAAACATGAGAGGGAGGGGCACTAAAGGAAAGATACATTGGAGCCTGATGACATCTTCACCCCATGATTAATTACTCAGTTCTTTCCTAACATCTGTATTTCAGAGTTGAATCTAGTATGTACAGCAATTTTTTTAAATGTGTGAAAGGCATCCGTGCCAGGGAAGAAGTCTCAAATCCTGCCTGTGGTTGAATAATGCTTGGCCCCTTTTTGTGCTCACCAGGGAGTTTAGCCTTGTCTGTTAATCAGCTTTCTGTTATGGCATCACACGCCTGAGATACTTGTCTTATCGTGGTGGGAGCACATGGTTGAGCAAAACCGTTCACCTCCTGGCCAGAATGTGAAAGAGAGAAAGAGGAAGTTACTGGGGCCCAACAACCCCTTCCAGGGCACATGCCCAAATGCCAAAAGACCTCTCACTAGGCCACGCCTCCAAAAGCACCACCATTTGCTAGCAGTGCCACCTTGGGAAACGAGCCTTTACCACAGGAGTCTTTGAGGAACACTTAAGATCCAAATGGTAGCAACATGGAAGTCCCATGGCATAGTCACCCTAATGTGGTCCTGGGGTACTCCTCAAAGATAGAAAGTGTCGTCATGAGGTTCCTGGGCCATTTTATCACTCGGCTGATTTTTTGTTGTTGTTGTGTCTTGTTTTGATTTTAAATGCATTCACAAGCCAGAACTAATCTGGCTTAGACTTCTAAAAAAAATTTTAATGCTGGGGATTGATTGAATCCAGGGCTTTCACACTGAGCCACATCCACAGCCCCTATATCCACAGCCCCTTCTATTTTATAAATTTAAGACAGGGTTTCTCTAAGTTGTTAAATTGCCAGATTTCGCTTGTGATCCTCCTGCCTCAGCTTCCTAGAGTGCTGAGATTATGGGCATGGGCCACTACACCTGGCTTAGACATTCTGTATGCACTGAGTCCAGTGGGGAACTGTACACCTTAGTGGTTTCAGAATGAGAACAGTTGTTCCTGCCAGTGTGACTAACAGCAGGAGTAAATCTGAATAATTTCCTCATCTGAAAACTCCCATTCTACCATAATCCTGTGTAAGTATCTCCTTCTTGGAGAAAATGAAGTTATGTCCTTTCCAAGAGAGAGGATAGTTTACTGTGTGGGTTGAGGCCCTGTCTGTCCTCTGCCAGGGAGTTGCTCTCCGTAGGAGCAGCTCCTTGGTCCCTTGTGGGTGGTTTTCTCAATTCTTAAGGAGATCCAGAAAGCTTCGGAAGCATCCATGGATGTCGCTTGTTTAGGTCAGGCCGCAGGATGGTTAACTCAGCCTCTTTCAAGAGGCTCACAGATGTCTTTGGAGGTTCAATGCTGCTTGCATTCTTCTTCTGTCACCTTCTTGTGCAGTCCCCATTGCAATCCTCAAAGTGACCTCCAGGTTTGTGGTTAATAGTCAGAATTTTCTGTTTCTGCCCTTCTCAGGACTTTTAACTGTTGGCGTGAAAGAGTCAGCAATGGTCAACAAAATATTCACCTGTATCAACGTTCTGGTCCTGGGCTTCATCGTGGTGTCGGGATTTGTGAAGGGATCCATTAAAAACTGGCAGCTCGACCTGAATGTGTCCAGCCATATGTGTCTCAACAAGTGAGTCATTTCTTCTGGCCTTGGCACGTGCCAGTTCTCCATATTTGATATTTAGCTCCATGTACACATATTCGGGGATATAACTGGCTAGGATAATATGTACCCTTAGAAGTACACAGTTCAAGTTGATTTTGTTCACCTGTTTTGCCTTGTTTTTCTGCAGTGGAGTCATTGAGGCTATTTTGTAGGTGCGGAGCTTGTGTTACAGTTTATTTCCCTGATGTAGACAGCACATTGCATGACAAGGAAGGTTTTCAGGAAAATAAGACCATCATTTCATCTCCAACTTGTTGTCACACTGCTTAAGGAATCTTTTTTTTTTCTCATACTTGATTATATGACCAGCCTTTAAATTTTATATTCAAAAGACACTCGCTTTTTATTTGTAAATGCCTTCCTATAACATGAGTAATGTATAGGAAAGAAGAAATAAGTGGAACTTTTATTTATGTATTTGGTACCAGGAATCGAACTCAGACCTTGTGCTTGCCAGGCAGGTGCTTGTGCTGCTGAGCTATATCCCCAGCTGGTGGAACTTTTATTAAAGGGATTCTTGTGCATATGTGATGGGGTACATGGAGCCCCTGTCACCCTGATGTTTCTGATTCAGGACACTCAGAGCTTGAGGAGGCCGAAGGCCAGCTGTCTATCCTAGACTCTGTTAGGCCACCGAGGGAGCTGTCCCCAACATGCTCCTGCTGTGTAGGAAACAAAGCCAAATAATTATAATTTGTCTTTTAGATATTCTCTGCCAGGTTTTAGGATGAGTTTTTGTGTCCCAGGATGGAGAATGGGGACTTGGTTTGTCTGTGATTCTGTTTTCTTTAAGGTACAGGGCTAGACTGCTAGGATACAGATACCCCAAGATGCAATGATGGCCAGCGCGGGGACCCAGACGCCTTCCATCTTGTTGTTCTTTCATCCCTGACAACAGCTTTTGTTGTTCTCCTCTGCCCGGCCTGTGGGCAAAGCAGGACCCAGCTTTCCAGAAGTGAAAAGAGAGTACGGGTATGGGAGGGGAGCATGCCCAGGGCTCCTGAGGACAGACCAGGAAGACTGGCCCACTGTGCATTCTACTGGCCAGAACTCGGTGGGTGGCCACATCTAGCTGCAAGGAGGCTGAGAAATGCTGTCCCTCACAGGGGACCTCAGCAGTCCCAACTGCCCAGTCCGTGGCTAGTTCAGGGACGAGAGTCCAGCCAGCTCCCCAGTGCTCCGATAAGTGAACAGGCAGTGTCTGTGACTACTTCACTCCTTAGAACAACAAAGTGTTGAATTGGATGCAGGGAATCTCACTAGTACTTCAATTATGTGGTTAGGAATTCAAATAAAAATGTCTCTCCTAAACTCTTGAAATTAAACAAAAATGAGCCCTTCTCTCTTAAACTCTGTAACAGAAAAGCAAAGACTTTTAATGTATCATTTCTAAGCATTCCAGAGTTGTCTCTATGCCAAATTTATTGGTACCCAATAATTAAAGGTGGAATGAAGCCAACTGAAAATATGCTTTGAAGTACTGCCGTAGACTTGCAGCATGTTGATAGTGGATTTTACTGGGTACAGTTCCGGGTCAGGAATGAGATATGGAGGGCTCCTTTTGCTTCCTGGTTGCCAGTTGGGAGCGTCATTGTTTCTATCAGGAGATTGTGTCTGCCGGTCATACTTGCTTTCAGCAGTCATCCTTGAACAGAGTGTACTCGCGATGCCTGACCTGTGCCTGCCATTCAGATAAGGTGATACTTGTCATTCCAGCCCTCGGGCCACACGCGAGGGCCTTCATTTCCGTCTGAAGACCTGGGGCACCGTTGCCGGGGATCCTCTTCACCTTAAAGAGGTGAAGTTCTGCAGACCTGGAGCATAGCTGGCTCTTATTTCACTCAAATCTGCACATGGCTTTTGTTTTTGCCAGCTGTAGATTTGTGTTTCCAAGAACAGCCATGTAGTCTTGCATGAAATTGCTTGTCCCTCTGCCATCTAGCAGGGCATTTCCTGACTTAATCGTGTATCACGCAGGAGTATCAGCCTGCGTGGTCAAAGGCTGCTTTGACTGCACTGGGTTTGGAATTTTCTACATCTTTCTCCATGGCTTGCTTGCAGGGAACCCTTTGAACCTGTTAGTCTGTCTCTGGGTCTGGGCTTGGGCTGTTACCCTGCAGTTGCAGTGGGTTTTTCCCTGTCTTGCCTTGTGCTGCCTCCGGCCTTCTTATCCAGCAGCCTGGAAATGGGTAACACAGGAAATCAGGGTGATGACTTCATCATAAAAGCAGGCCGGCTGCTTTTATGCTATGTGGAAGCCTATTGAGGTTTCGTAGGACAGTGTGTGCCCATTAGGATAGAAACCCCAAAATAATGTTGACTTCATAAGATAAAGGGTTAGCTCTCTGCAGGTAACAGGTGGACAGGGTCAATCCAGAACACCTGTTACCAGGCTCAGGAATCTCGTCCTTCCGTCTCATGGCCTTCTCCGTGGCCCGTGTTTCCACGGCCACCTGACTTCAGGGTGGGGCTGTTCCTCGTGCTCCAGCTAGCAGGAGGGAACATGCAAGAGCACCTGCCCTGCCGTCATCCGCACGCAATACGCAGGAGATTCCTGTGCCATGTCTGCTTTGGTCTCATCGCTGCACCTACAGCTAGAGTCTTCAGAGGCATAGGCTTGGTTCTCACCGGTCGTGAGTCTGGCTGAAATAATCATTACTGTGTAGAGTGGGGACATGCGGCTGTCTGGGACGACTGACGTTTACATCAGGGTAGCAGGTGGCTGTCTGATAGGACTTTGGAGGCTTGGTAAAGTACACTTACTGTTAGTTTGGTGGGGACAGGCGGTGTGTGGGAGACCTGCCCTGGCCTCGCACCCTACTTTGCCAGTTATTGTCCTTGCTAAGGATCAGTTGAGTGGAATGCAGCAAGGCTAGTCACCCAAACTGCAGGGCAGAGAGTACTGCACTGAGGCCTGGGTTTAGCCCACTGTGTCGTGAGCTGACATTTGCCAGGAGGTGGCCAGGCAGTGTCCCCAGTCCTTCACGGGTAAGCCACCAAGTGGCGAGTGGACCCAGCATAACATGCGTGTACCACGTGAAGTATTGGTTCTGTGTGAAGAGCCTTTGAAAAATATTTCTAAATGTTTTGGTTTAAGGCCCTATGCAATGGATTCTGTACTTATTTTATATTCATGTCCTGTGAGTAAGATCAGGAACACCCACACTTAAAAGGTGAATTTAATTTTTTGAGTAAATACAATAATCACACAGTTCTTATGTCATAATGTTTTTAGAAAGCTTTTCATGAAGAAATCTTGTTCCTCTTCCTTTCTTCATCTACCTCATCCCCTGCTCTCACAGAGGGTGGTTGTTTTTATTATGTGTGGTAGGGAGGCTTCTAGTTTTCTTGACATAAAACAAGCAAATGCAAATGTGTATTTTATCCCCATTTTTTGCCCCTGGCCTTGTCCTCTTACTGGGACTCCCTTTATGTATCAGGACCTCTCCACCGAGGCCAGAGGAGCAGGTGCAGTGGTGTCACTGTCAAGAGAACTGGCTCACAGCTCCAGGAGACCCTGTTCTTTGTCCCTTCACCTTTGGGGGTATCTGACCCCCCCCCTTGTGTCAGTCCCGAGGAGCCAGTAAGATGCTTTTCCTTTGCCTTCTCTGTGTTTTTCTCACTTATCTCCCTGCATCTGCACGACTCAGGAGTGGTCCAGCCCTCACTCCTCTTCTGCCAGCCTCATCTCTGCTTTAAGGATTAGCACACTCCTCTTCCATCTCACTGCGATTCTCCAGCCTCCCCAGGCGCACCTGCTGCACAGCTGCTGAAAAGCAAACCATCAAAGGTGACACTCGGCTGTTGCTATTCACGGCCATCTCTGCAGCTGCTGACCTCACGTACAGGGGCACTTGCGGGATGCTTCGGTTGACTAACACAGTTCATGTTTTTAGCCATAGTTTCTATTTTGGAGATTTGAGCTCCCGGTAATTTCAGGATGTTGGGTGGGGATAGTGCCTCTGGTGGGCATCTCCGAGTTTCTCTGTCCCTGGGGGTCTTGGAGGAGGAGGGTGTGGGTCAGCCCCAGTGGTTGGATCTCTCCTCCCCTTCCTTTCCCTACAAGTCATGTACAAGATACTTCTAACCAGGTGATGGTGTGTGCCATCGTGGCTCTGGGCCCTGAAAAACAGCACGCCGGCTGCCCGGGGAATTGGATCACTGTGGGCTGAGGACTGAGATGAAGGGTCTGAAGCTCCTGGGCCTGGCAGCAGTCACAGGGTGGGGTGACTGCCTGGTACCGCTTCTCTTTAGGATGTGAGCGCTGCTCCTAAACCAGACGACACAGCAGATGCTGTGATCTCTGACTCTGGCTTTTTTTTTTCCCTCCAGTGACACAAAAATAGAGAAACTTGGTGCTGGTGGATTCATGCCCTTCGGGTTCTCTGGTGTCCTGTCGGGGGCAGCGACCTGCTTCTATGCCTTCGTGGGTTTCGACTGCATTGCCACCACTGGTATGTGCCCCCTGCCTGCCCTCCCTGGTCCCCCACTGCCTGGATGACAGGAGAGGGAGGCTCCTACTGTCCACAGCCAAAAGGTCCCTCCCTGCTCCAGTTGTCACCCTTGCACATGGAAGTCACGGGAGGAGTTACAGCTTCCTGCTGCTCTCCCCTGCTGCTCTCTCTGTTACCCCTTCCCCAAGTGGCGGTGCCTGACCGGGTACTGTGCCTTGAGCAGAACTAGGAGCTCTGGTGTTAGAGCTGCAGCCTGGTGGCTATCTGTGTCATATGGGAGAGCTGAGGATGCTGAAAATAATGTCAGCCTGGTTGATGGATGTTTAGACCAGATGTTCAGACCAGGTATTCTCAGCTAAGGGAAACCAGTCTGTCCTTTAGCTTGAACTCAATATAAAGCGAGAGCCCTCCTAGGACTGGGGCCCCTGAGGCTGTTTGGCGTGTTACACTTCTGCATCAGAAAGCTGCGGGCAGAACATTCCAGGGTGCTGTCCCTGCCGTGTGTGGGTGGGTGCAGCGCCTTCTGCCCTCTGACTCTTGCTGCTTCCAGGGGAGGAAGTCAAGAACCCCCAGAAGGCCATCCCTGCGGGTATTGTTGCATCCCTCCTGATCTGCTTCATCGCGTACTTCGGGGTGTCTGCCGCCCTCACGCTTATGATGCCCTACTTCTGCCTGGACACCAACAGCCCCCTGCCGGATGCCTTCAAGCACGTGGGCTGGGAAGGTGCCAAGTATGCAGTGGCCGTCGGCTCCCTGTGTGCACTTTCCACCAGGTGAGAGGCTTCCCGCCTTCCCGCCACCACTCCTCGCTTCTCACGGTGCTGGCTCTGCAGAAGGTGTAAGGCTAGGGAGGCCAGTGGAAGCCGCACTCAGGCTGGTATATATGTTTTTCCTTTGAGTTCAGACCAGCAGGCCAGCTCTGAATGTGCCTTTCCTAAGCTCTGTTGCTAGTACTCATCCCAAGTGTTACTTGTATTACTGATGCCGTAGTTTCTCTCATTCGGAGGGAGATCCACTCCAGGACTCCCACTGGAAGATGTTTCTAACATACACATACCTGTGACAAAGTTTAATTTACAACTTAGGCCTAGTAGGAGATAAATACTAATGTAGAACAGTTCTAACAGTATATTATAATAAGAACTGGTCAAAATTATCAACTGTTCCTTTCTAGAAATTTCCATTTAATATTTTTGGACCGTGATTGGCCACAGGTAACTGAAACTACAGAAAGCAAAACCATGGAGAAAGGGAGACTGTCGTATTTTTGACCACGACGATCCTAGGGCCACCTTTTGGACATGGCCTGCTTAACAAGCGATGGGCTTTGTGGCTTTGTGTTCCTAACCTTTGCCCTCTGGTCCTCTTGACCACCGTCCCCTGGCCTTTAATTTTGCCATAAAGGGAGGGCTACTTTGAGAAAGCAAGCCTTTTACTGGGAAGTTTCCTGTCCCTGGGATCGGGTGCTGACCTGTGTAAGTAGGAACTACTTCTTGTGTATTTATTTTCTTTAGAGGAATCCTTAGGAATGCCGTGATGCTCTTATTTCCTGTTTATTCAGCTAGACATAATCGTAAGAATAATTTGGAGTTTGGAAAGGACCCAGTTCTTGGTGAGGAACACCGGGGCCCTTTCGGTGGTGAACCATACATGGTCTCGTATGGTGCCTCTGTTCCTGACAAGCCAGTCTCACGCATGCGTTTTGCCCTCCCTCCCTGCCTAGTCTTCTGGGCTCCATGTTTCCCATGCCGCGAGTTATCTACGCCATGGCCGAAGATGGACTGCTGTTTAAATCTTTGGCCAAAATTAATGATAGAACCAAAACCCCAGTCATCGCCACACTAGCCTCAGGTGCCGTTGCTGGTAAGTACTGGAACTACTGTGTTTTCACCTCCAGTAGTGTAATAGACATTACCATTGCCAGGCAGACATCTGAAATTGTGCCTCTCTGTAAGAAATTGCAATTGTCCTGTTAAACTCTCGGTTTTTACAGTGGGAACATGTTTGTTGAAAGATAACTGCCCCTCTGATAAAACACAGAGATGCCAGTTTCACAGAGGATGGGATAGAATTCTCAGTTGTTATCCTCTCCACAGACAAAGCTTAAAACACACACTGCCCCTTCAAACCGTCATCTCTCTGAGTAGACTTCAGCATGTTGACGTCTTTTTTTGTAAAATTTATTTTTATTAATTAAGTTTATTGGTACATTTTAGATACACATAATGATCGTATTCACCGTAGGGAATATGTACCTGTATGTGATACATCTTGATTTCCTCTTTTTTTCTTACTCCCCTCCCCTCCCTTCAACCTCTCTCCTCCTTGTGCACAAAAGCTTTGTTTCCATTTTTGCCTTCTTTTCTTATTTTTTCTTCCCACCTCCCCGCCGTTCTTCTTTCCATTTGAACATTTTATTCCTGTTCCACAATATCTATTATACATTTTGGTCCTTGTTTACACTTTTGGTTTTTTACACCTGAGAAACATTGTGATACTTACATGTGTGTCTGATTTATTTCACTTAAGAGTATGGTGTCAGAGTGCATCAATTTAGCTAGCAATGTCTTGAACTTACCCTTCTTTATGGTAGAGTAGTACTCCATTGTAAAAAAGAAGCACATTTCCTTTATCCGTTCATCAGTTGATGGGCATTTGGGCTGTTCCCAAGATTTGGCTATTACAAGCTATGCTGCTGTAAACATGAGTGCGTATATTCTGTGGTATGATGCTTTTAATTCTTTTGGGAAGGTACCGAGAAGGGGAATAGCTGGGTCAGATGGATCTGCTAGTCCTAGTTTTTTGAGGAATCGCCACACTGATTTCCACAGTGGTTGCACCAGTCTATATTCCCAGCAGCGGTGGAGAAGAGTTCTGTTTTCCTGACAGCCCCACCAGCATTTGTTATTGGTTGACTTTTTGATAACAGCCATTGTTTCTGGGGTGAGATAGAGTCTTAGCATTGTTCTAATTTACATTTCTTGAATGACCAGTGGTGTTAAACATTCTTTCATATATTTGCCATTTCTACTCCTTCATCTGAGAAGTGTCTCTTCAGATGCCCATTTTTGGACTGGGTCTTTACATTTGGGGGTCTGATTGTTTTGAGTTCTTCATATATTCTAGATAGTGGTCCTTTTAGGAGCAGCTGGCACAAATTTTTCCCACACTGTGGGTTATGTCTTTACTCTGTTTCTGGTTGCTCTTACTGTGGAAAAGCTTTTTAATAGGATAAAGTCCCAGTTGTTGATTCTTTGTGATATTTCCCGTGCAATCAGGGTTTTGTTCATGAAATGTTTGCCTAAACCAATGTCAAGAGTTCTACCTATTCTGTCTTCCAGCAGATTTAATGCTTCTGTTTTAATATTTAGATCTTTGATACATTTTAATTTTAGTTTAGGGCATGGTGAAATATATGGGTCTAGTTTTAATCCTTGGCATGTGGAAGGTCAGCTTTTCTAGCACCATTGATTAAGGAGGCTGTCTTTCTTCCGATGAAGGTGTTGCAACCTTTGTCAAAGATACTGTGGTTAAGTATGTCTGGAGTTGTTTTTGCATCTTCTAATCTGTTCCACTGATCCTTGGGTCTGTGTTTTTGTTTGTCTGTTTTTGTTTTTCCAGTACCAAGCTGTTTTTATCACAGTAGCCTTGTAGTATCATTTCAAGTCAGGGATTGTGATGCCCCCTTCCTTACATTTGTTGGCCAGAATTGCCTCAGTTATTCTAGGTCTTTTCTGTTTCCAAATGAATTTTAGGATTGTTTTCTTTAATTCTGTGAAATATGCTGTTAGAATTTTTATCAGGATTGCATTAAATCTGAATAACAATTTTGGAAGTATGGCCATTTTCATTATAATTGGTTCTTCCCACTCAAGAGTAAGCTATAGCTTTCCATTTTCTGATCTCTTCAATCTTCTTTTTCAGAGTACTGTAGTTTTCAATGCAGAGGTCTTTTACTTCCTTCATTAGATTGATTCCTATGTATTTAATTTTTTGGATGCTATTGTGAAAGGTGTTTCCCTAATTTCCCTCTTAATGAGTTTGGTATTCATATACAGGATGGCTATTGATTTTTGAGTGTTGACTTTGTGTCCAGCTACGCTATTGAATTTTGTTATTAAATCTAGAAGTCTGTTGATGGAATCTTTAGGGGTCTTCTTTGTGAAGTATCGTGCCATCTGCAAATAATGATAATGTAACTTCTTCCTTTCTTATCCTTATTCCTTATATTTCTTTCTCTTTTGTCTAATTGCTCTGGCTGATGTTTCCAGAACTATATTGAATAAGAGTGGTGACAGTGAACATCCTTGTCTTGTTTCTGATTTTAGAGTGAAAGCTTTCAGTATTTTGACCATTTAGTATGATATTGGCTATGGGTTTGTTATAGATGGCTTTTATCAGATTGAGATAAAGAACTTCTGTAGTTTTCTGTAGGATTTTTATCATGAACGGGTGTTGGACTTTGTCAAATGCTTTTTCTGCATCTATTGAGATAATCATATGGTTTTTGTCCTGGGGTCTGTTAACACAGTGTATTACATTTGCTGATTTGTGTATGTTGAACCATCCCTGCATCCCTGGAATGAATCGTACTTAGTCATGGTGTATAATCTTCTTGATGATTTGCTGTATTCTTTTTGCCAGGATCTTATTGAGGATTTTGCATCTACGTTCATTAAGGAGATTGCCCTGTGTTTTTTTTTTTTTTTTTTTTTTTTGGTTGGATCCCTCTCTGGTTTTGGTATCAGGGTCATGACTGCTTCTAGGAATGAATTTGGGAGTACTGCTTTCTTTTCAGTTTCATTAAAGAGTTTGAGAAGTAGTGGTATTAGGTCTTCTAAATTTCTTGTAGAATTCAGCATTGAATCTGTCAGGGCCTGGGTTTTTCTTTGTTGGTAGGTTTTTAATTACATCTTCAGTTTCACTATTTATGTAGCTTTTTTATATCTTGATTCGGCTTTGATAATTCATACATACCTAGGAATCTGTCCATTTTTTTCTGCATTTCCCACCTTATTAGAATACAGGTTCTTGAAGTAGGTATAGATGACCTTCTTGGTTTCTGCAGGATCTGTTGTGATTTCACCCTTTTCATTCCTAACTGCATGGATTTTTAGTCTTTCCTTTTTTTTTGAAAAGGTTGGCTAAGGGTTTGTCAATAGCACGTTGGCATCTTGCATCACGCAAGCCAAGTGAGACTTTCGGTTCGTCCCTGGGAATCAACTGTTTGTGTATCTTGACTCACAGATTCTCTGGAAAATGAGTGTTCCTCACAGTCAGTTTTTTTATAACATGTGCCACCAATTCCACAGGATATTGAGGGTGTTGCTGATAAAACCATTTGCCCCTAATTTTGTAAATAATAGCAGAGCCAGAGGAGGTTTCTTTTTCTAGTCAGGTTTGTCCCTGAGAGAGGGAAGTTGCGACCAATGAAGTCACTAAAAAACCCTCTGAATGGTGTGGAGTTCTGGGATCCCCATGCAGGAAGGAGGTGGAGCTCCCTCACACTGCTATGTGCTGTTTTAGGTTTCATTGTTTCTTAAATGCACATTAGCATCCCAAGAGCCGGGTACCAGCTCACTGTACAAGTGGAGAAGTAGAGGCCAGAGAGACACAGGGAGGATGCACACCCAGAGGGCGGAGGTAGCTCCTGATTCCTGGCTGGTGTTTATGCCCAAAGCAGTCAGGTTTCTTCTAGGGTCTAAGTTCTGTGGTGGCTTTTTTGGGATAAAGTAGGGCATGTGGTACCCATCATAATTTGTACCTCAGTGACCCTCAACCATCTGAAATGAACTAATTATTCATTGGGTTTTATTAGTATATATACCTTTTACAAAGTATACTTAGTTTTGTGGATTACTGTTATATGAAAAAAGAAAGCAATTTTTATATATTTAACAAGCTTTTTGAATAATTTTCCACTTTTGTGAGTGCTCATGGTGTTGAATTTGAGGGGGGCTGTGTGTCAGAGTATGTCCAGGATAACAAAAGGATTGAAGAATTGGGAACAGTAATTTTCTCAGTGTTTACATGTAATTTGGTCATCCTAAAGACCAGCCTCAATTTCCTTTCTGTGCCAATAAAAGGAGGTTGAACTATAATCTTTCAAGTGATTATAAAGTACATGCCATTCACCAAACCAAGGATTTGCTCTCTTTTCATTTGGTGGGAATATAAGTAAGTGCATGGTTTTCTAAAATCACCTTGTGGGAAGAAGTTTGTGTCAGGTTTCTGTGAAGAGGGATGTAGGCATTTGTGGCATGCACAGTTGGATACTTCTCTAATTATCCAGAGGCCTTCATTGCTCTTTAATCGTATTATTTATCCTCAATTTAAGTTTGTTTGACTTGCAGTGATCAAGTGCAGCTTCAGAGGTATTTGTGGAAAAATAATGGTTTCATGTTTATTTATGTTTTAACTTGTATACAGTGCATATGTTTTAAAAATATTTCAAAGTAGGACTTGGGAGGTTATTATTTAAATGGTAAATTTGACATACATATCAGCATAAATAGAAACATGAATGCTTATAAAAGGATTTTCAAATAAACATGCATGTGTACATTATCATCATCATCATATTATTATTATTGATTATTATTTGCAGTACTAGGGGTTGAACCCAGGGCCTTGTGCACACAAGACAAATGTCGTACCGCTGTGTTACGCCCTCACCTCAAGCATGCGTGTTTAATCTTTAAAAGTGTGTGTGTGTGTGTGTGTGTATGTGTGTGTGTATGAAGGGGCTGATATCACTGGGCAGCAGTTTTACAGATTTCTTGCCTGTGAAGTGATTTCATATGTGAAGGACAAATAGCTCTACCTCCCCAGCTCACCTGTCTGAGTTAGGAGCCCCTCTGGAGTCCTCTTAGAGACCAGGTGTGCTCTCCTTCACCTCCTCGTCACTATTACCGACTGATGCTTATGTCTGGAGCAGGTACTGACTGTCAGAGAGGCCAGGAACTGTGTTGTGCCCTGTTTGGGAGTGTGTGCCCTAAGGGACTGGCACATGCTCAGTCAGTGCTGTATGGAGGGTCCGTGGGTGAGTGGAGGATGGATGGAAGAGGAATCGCTGGGCAATGGCTGGATAGGTGATGCACAAGTGAGTCGCATGTGCATGATGGATGGAGGATGGATGATGGATCACTGAGTGGATGGAGGATAGAAGCGTGAGTGGATCCTGCTCCTCTAGTCACTAGTTGTTTAACCTGAGATAAGTTTCCTATCCTGTCTGAACTTAATTTCTTCATCTGTAGTATAGGTGTGGTTTGCAAAGTGGTGAGGATCAAAAAAGGATGAAAGTATTTTTTACACGAATGTTTATTATTATTGTCTGTTGGGGATTGTGCACATGTTTTAACATAGAAGTGTTTTTCCACGGAAAGCTGGTGGTTGGGCTGGGAATGACTAGCATCCCTTGCATACCCTGGGTCACACCTCGTTGCTGGTTCTGGATGTTGATGTGTGCAGAGGATCCATAGATCCCCATGTCTGTCTTCCCAGCTGTGATGGCCTTCCTCTTTGACCTGAAGGACTTGGTGGACCTCATGTCCATTGGCACTCTCCTGGCTTACTCTTTGGTGGCTGCCTGTGTATTGGTCTTAAGGTATGTATAGTTTTCCTGGGCTCCATGGCAAATGTAGGTATATCAAGGTCACTGTGTAACTCTTACATGGATGGCAGCTTGTCTGGGAGCTCCCAAGGAGCAGATGGGATGTGGTAATTGAGCACCTGGTTGGGAGGATGTAATAGAAAAGAAACAAGGGTCACTCCTACCTCCCTCTGTAGTGTGCCCTTATATTTCTGGCTAACTGTAAGGAAGATAATAGCTTCTGAGCTCCACTGTTGTGTCTGAATTGTAGGATCACAATTTTTGAGGGCTTAGCATAATGGAATGGCTGTCTCTGCCAGAAACACAGAGGGGTTGGGGCTGGCCCTTTAGGAAATTTGGAGACGAAGGCCTGTGTGGTTAGATCAGTGTGATGTTCTATAGCCAGGTTTACCTATAGGTGGGGGAATAAATCCCAGTATATGGCACAGAGTGGCCTCGGTGATGTTCATGGATACTTGATAGGTTTTGACTGTTTCACTCTTGAAACAGTAAGCAGCTCCTGGGCCTAGACTTGGTGTCTGGGTGTTCTCATCCATTCCAGGGCCCTCCCCAAAGCACGCGCTTGGACTCCAGTTATTCTTTGCTCTGGGGAAAAGCCTCCACTTCAGAGATGGCCTAAAACAGCGTATGTTGGTCACCCAGGAAAAGCGTTATTTCTTGTCAGGAATTTGTGCTTTCAAGGCCACTGGTTCCATTTCTGCTGTACTCAGCACCTACTTTGATAAAACCTAGCCTGAGCCTAAGCAGTAGCTTTGTGTAATCAGCAAAAACTCGTGGATCCCTCATCTCTGCCCAGGCTCAACACTAGAATATTCTCCGAGGTCTCTCCATTTTCATATCTGACCAAGCCATGTTGCACAAGGGAGTCAGTGCAAAACTGATGAGCTGTCTTTATGCTCTTTCTTAATTTTATGCAAAATAATTCAGAAAGCATTCTTTTTCAAAGCTAACGGAGGAGATCGACACCTCATTCATTTTGGTTGGGAAGATGAGGCAGCTCATTTAAAATGGATGCTTTACTTATAGGCAGCCTGTGGTATTATTTCCAGTAATACCAGAGGTTACATCCTTCACCCAGCTCCAGAGAGTTATTTACTCTAAGGCGCTTGGAGTTTCAGACTAAATTGATCCAATTAGGTCATACACCTAAAATTTCTCAAATCCATCAGCCTACAGACACAATTCTCTGGCTCTCTGCAGCAAATAGGATCCTAGCGTTATTGCTTTCTATTTCTGTCTTATCATTTAGTTTGCTGTGATTGTGGCTTTGTGAGAAGTGGCCTAATATCTTAACATCCAAGAGCCACTGTTGCTTCACAGAGCAAGAGAAATCTTCCCCGGACATTGCAATGGGCTACTTCACAGTGGAGCTCATGTTCCCCCCAGCACGTCCATCAAGTGAGAGTGTTGCCCAGGTAGGAAGAAGGACCCAGGTGTCTCTTCCTCCACTTCTGCATTGCTAGAGAAAGCACCCTTTTGACTGCCTCTTTCTTGTCTTAGGCCTTGTATCCCAGGCAGTTTTCCTCTGAAAGTTTGCTGAGAACTTAAATTGCAAGCATATTACAGTGGTCACACGCCCTGCCTTTCCTTCCAGGTATCAGCCAGAGCAGCCTAACCTGGTATACCAGATGGCCAGAACAACTGATGAGCTAGATCAAGTTGACCAGAATGAACTTGTGAGCGCCAGCGATTCCCAAACAGGCTTTTTACCAAAAGCAGAGAAGTTGTCTTGGAAAAGCATACTCACACCTAAAAATACGGAGCCTTCCAAATTATCTGGATTCATTGTGAACATTTCAGCCAGCCTCATAGGTAAGGGCTAGGCTCTTCCCTGATAAGGGTCTGGAGTGTTGCTTGTTGGCATTGCGTGTTTTCTTGTTAGTGGGCGTGGAAGTGGAGTGGGGGATGTTGCTGGAGACGAGTGAGCATTTTCTTGCCTGGCTATGACTGACAGTAGTTCTTCTGTCCTAATTGTAGTCAGTGCCACCCTCTGGACAAGTTTTGGGGAGAACGGACGATACGTGTGGAGGCTGGAGAAATGGCTGAGTTTGGGCTGATGTCTCTTTTCTCCCCTTAGTTGTTTTCATCCTCACTCTCTGCATTGTGGCTGTGATTGGAAGAGACGCTCTGGGCAGAGGGGAGCCGTGGGCCATCCTGGTGGTCACGAGTACGACCCTGCTCAGTGCGGTGGTCGTGGGCGTCATCTGGAGGCAACCCGAGAGCAAGACCAAGCTTTCGTTTAAGGTGAGCAGCTTGGCCTAATGGGCCTGTGGGGGATTTCCTGGAAGGCCACAGCTAGCCCTCCTGCCCGGAGGCTGACCCTGCATGGGTGCTCCAGGGGCCTTCTTGCCAGCCAGCCTCAGGAAACATGGGATGGGGCGCTTCCAACCCACAGGGTGCCTCCCGAGCAAGGAAGGACAGGGTGGGCCCCTTCTCTGCCCCTGGCTCCCAGGGGGTCGGTGCACCACGCGGCATCACATGTCACTTCCGGGCCTTGGAGATGACCGGGCTTCTGTAATTTTAGGTTGTACAAATATAAAATAATTCATCCTTAGAGATAAAATGGAAACCCCTCTTCTGGTCCTTTCTTTCAGCAGGAGAATCACAAGAGGGGAAAATTAGAACGGAACTCACTTTGGCAGTTGGAGCTTTGAGCCAAACTCACCCTTGCTGTGCATGTGTTTGGGGCGTGGGTTGGGGGTGCAGGGATTTATGTGGGACGGGGCGCCCTGTCAGATCTGACACCGCCTCCCGTCTCTGCAGGTGCCCTTCTTGCCAGTGCTCCCCATCCTGAGCATTTTCGTGAACGTCTATCTCATGATGCAGCTGGACCAGGGCACGTGGGTCCGGTTTGCAGTCTGGATGCTGATAGGTATGTTGGGCCATGGGTTTTGCTGTAGCAAACACATTGTGTCCTTGTTTCTCTTGGGGGCCTCCCCTGCCGTGTGAGGCTGTACAGGGGCTGCTCACTGGTTTTCCCCACTACTTGGCTACATGCTTACAGTCGTAGAACCTCCCTTGTTCCAGATTCTGTAACACAAGGAGAACTACATCAAATTCCTAGTAGACTGTAGGTCCTCTCGCCCCTTTTCATCTTAATAGAAAGTTGCCATACTAGTTGTCTCATCAGGCCCGAGCTTGAGCACAAGGCCGTGAGTACTGTTGATGAGGCACCCATTTCACCAGACGGGAAAGTCTAGGCTATGCCTCCCCTCACCTGCCCAGCACGTGGCCTGTGGGCTGCAGGCCCTGGCAGGTATGCGTGGCACCAGGCTCCCCTGGCTTCTCAGTAGAAAGGCAGAATTTGAGCCTAGGGGAGGTATGGCCAGGGCTCTTGAAGGGACAGCATCTGTCTTGTTTCTGATATTAGATGACCAGGGATAGGGGCAGTGTATGGGGACTGCAGGCTTGTCTGAGGACCAGCTGCTTGCGTGCTGGTAAACATCTCTAGGGCTGTCTGTGTCCTGCTCCCTCCAGGACTGGAGGGTCTACACTCAGATCATTCCTCTCAGTGTCTTAGTTCTTGTGCTGATTCCAGGGGACCGGCCATGACCTTTGCCCATGAGTACTGTCCTAGCCAAGATCCTCAGCCATGGGTTCAGGTGCTGTGGACCTGGTGGCTACTGCCTCTGGGCTCCTGGGGCTCCTGAGAGGTGCTTTTCCTGTAGTCCTAGAGACTGCATCTCGTTCTCAGCAAAGTGCAGCCCATGTCTAATTAGGCTTGCTCATAGCTCTCTGTGGCCACTTCCTGTGGGAGTGGACACCTCTTCCCCCACCCCTGTATAAGTCTGTATTTTAGAGCGTGAGGTCCCCTTCCTGGGCTCCTGTTGTCCGTGGCTGTCCAGTGTCAGCCACATAAGGTATCCCTGCCATCTGGTCATCGCTCCTGGCTAGTCAGCAGCACGGGTGCCAGGCTCCACTACAGACCTTTGGAGTCCCGGCTGCTGGAACAGAGCTGTGGGTTCTCGTGTGAAGTGCATTTCTGGGCACTGAGTGTTGCTTGCAGTGTGGCGGTCATTTATTTAGAAAGTCAGGGCCCACACAGATTGTCTAAGCAGAGAGCCTGCGAGCCTGTGGTGCCCACTGGAAAGCCCACTTTGCTAGGGAGCAGCACGATTGTGTGACACTCGGAGGCCCTCCAGAGGTGGACAGGTGCGAAGCCAAAGGGCCCAGCGCCCTTCATGGCGTCTGCCTCACTGCTCAAGGGGGCCACTGTGAGAGGCTCTGCGAACGACCTGCACGCTTTGCCTTCGTAGAAGCAGCACTGTCGCCTTGGCTAAGCTTTGAAGAAGCACGTTTCTGCAGCTGCGGCGGCAGCCCTGGCCGCACTCCGTGGTTGTGAGTCCAGCCTGTACGGGCCGCTCTGCCCTCCGCTCATGCCGCTCTCTGTCTCCACCCGCAGGCTTCACCATCTACTTCGGCTATGGGCTGTGGCACAGCGAGGAGGCGTCCCTGGCGGCTGACCAGGCAAGGACTCCTGACGGCAACTTGGACCAGTGCAAGTGACCTGCAGCCCTGCTCGCCGGAGGTGGCAGCAGCCCTGAGGGGCAGCCACAGGGGACAGGGAGGTCCCTCCGTCTCGCTCCTGGCGCAACAGGAGCCACCCGTACCTGCGACACCCCCAGCGCCACCACAGGTGCAGCCGGCTGAACTGCAGCCTCAGCCACAGCCAGCGTGCCTGGCCGGACCCGGCCTGCAGCCGGCTCGCGAGGCGCTCGACATCCCGGACAGCTCCCTGGAGGCCACTTCGCCGCGGCTGCCCACCTGCTCCTCGCTTCCCTCCGAACGAAGAAATCCACCCCGCCCCCGCCCAGCTCGTCCTTGCCACCGCACCCTTGGGCAGGAAGGACATCCCTGTCTCCCTCCTTGGGAGCAGACCTCTCCCTGGACTGCTCTGGTATCGCAAATGTATAGACCCCAGATTTTAATAGCCATCTTTCCCTTCAGCCCTGGACAGCTGACCATAGACCCAGGATGCGTACCACAAACCCAGCTGTGCCAGCCCGAGCCACTCCTGCCCTCTGGGCGGTTAGGGCGGGGCTTCTCCCCAACGTTTTCCCTCCTGGCGGGGCTCTGTTCGCACATGTGATGGGTGGACCCCAGCCCATGCTCAGCAGCGGGATTGAGGGCGGGCATTTGTCTCTGCAGGGAAGCCTCAAGGTGGGGGAGGGCTGACTGGGCACATGTATGTGCATAACTGGGGGGCGTTCTCCAGGCCCCTTCCCTCCAGGACTAGGGGAGCATAGTTCCTGCTGCTTTTGTGTCTGTCACCACCGCCCACGTGTTCTGAGTAACTGGAAGGTGAGACTGCGTTTGTGTAGGACTGGTCTCGAGTTGGCTGAGCTAAGAACTGTTTTCCTTGGGTCTTTACATTGACCGATTTGCATGAGTCTTGAAAGGTTCTCAGGACCGGCGGCAGCTCGGTGTGGGTTCATGATGTTTCTGGCCCCTGCCCTGGGCGGTGTGGCCTCTTACATGTAATGTAATTGACTCTTGCTATTAGTTACCATGAATCACTCCACCCAGCGAAGTTGGGGTTAACTTGAAAAATGGCCAAATAATTACCACATGCCGTGGACCTGTGGTTCAGGATGTGCGGTCCACATGGGGGATCCCCTGCAGCCCTGTCGCTGTCCCTCTCATGTATCTGCCTTAGAAATGCCGTGGCTTTGCAAACTGGTGAGATTCTGCATAGGACCTGGACCTTGAGCCTCCGCAGGTCTGGGAGCGGGGTCCTGCCGGGACGCCACTGTCCCTCTGTGGCTCCCTGTGTACACCCTGCACCCCACCCCTTCCCTGTAGTTTGGGTGAGGCCCACAGTGAGCTCCATGTCATACACTCCTAGACTGAAGCCATGGGACAGGAGAGCATGATGGAGCCTCATTTCCATGTAGAGGACCATTCAGAGCCAGCAAGGCTGGTGTTCAAGGAAGGGCAGCATTTTAGACGCCGTGGGGAGGTGGGGCTGGAATGGAAATGTAGGCTTCAAAAGCAGCACTGGAGGGTAAATTAATGAAACAGCCTAACGGTCGGGCCAGCCAATGGAGGATGGCCACGTGGCCAAGAACTAGGTCTTTGTAGCAAACCTGGACCAGCTCGCTGGAAGCTCTATTCTGAGGATCATCCGTATTTGAGAGGGAGTGTCATAAGCGCCCCTTGCCCCCAAAAGCTTGGGTTTCCAAAGAAAAGTATTTAAGTGTATGTAGATTGGTGCTGTAAAATATTTTCATAAATATTAACTTATTTTGTTGGGGTTTTACTTATCTCTTGTCTTCTTACAACCTGTTCACTGTTTGTTTGCCTGATCTTTTGTTATTTTTCTATGCAGACAAGGATGAGGGAAAGAGGGTATCCAGGGAGATAGGTAGCAGGGAGAACATTTTTGTTTATTTTTTCTTAGCTTTAATTTTTTTCTAGCCAAAATTTCTGTACGAGACAGCACCCAGTGGTTCATTTATACTTGACATTCAGGACGCAGCCTGCATCGTCCTACAAAGTTGAAATATGTATTTTGAGTTTGCCCCGCCTCTGACCCTCTCATGCTGTGTGCTGACAGTGGGAGAGCCCGCCTGCTCCTTGCTCAGGCGCCTCAGCATGGGACACAGCGCTCACACAGGCAAGGGGCGGGAGAGTGTGCTATTCCTGCACCCTCCTTGTTACAGGAATGACTTCCTGGTCAGGAAAGGACGCCCAGCGACTGATGTGAACAGGGCACCCGTCACTGTGCTTTCCTTAAGAACAGGTGGGTACTTGGCCAGGCCCTTCCCATCTGTGTACAGACAGTGATACCTTGGAGTGAGCTTCACAATGTCAGTAGACTTGCTTACTGCATCCCTCACTCTCCGGAAGTAAAAACACATGCAGCCACCCTGCCCCCAGCCTCAGGTGTGACCAACAGTTTCACATCTCAACCCTTTGCCCACCTGAGAACGTCACTCTGAGTTGCGTGGCTTGGCCGGTGTTTTCTACAGTCAAAATTTACACATTCTGAAGACATACACATCCTGCAGGATACAGGGTCCACTTGTATTCTGCCCCAGCGCCAAAGACTCACATTAGAGAGAGATTTTCAATTAGTAAGCATCTTTCCTGTCTCTGGGCTCAAATTCTTGGAGAGCCCAGCACAGCAGAAATCCCTTCCTGTAGGAGGTCTGCTGTAAAGTGGGGGTGAAGGGCATCTCTAGGGCAGGAGTAGGGCCCCAGTAGCTTGGGGACCTTGCCATGTGGAGGGAACTGTCCTGGAGACATGGGGTCCCAGAGTATGTACACACACACACACACACACACACACCCTAAGCAGACACACACACACACACACACACACACACCCTAAGCAGGCCCTTGTGGGTCAGAGTTTGTCTTTCAAACCAAGGGGAAAGAAGTACACACTCTTTCCCGGGCTGATTAAAAGATTGCTAAATTTATACTGTTGGGATTGCCCAGACTTTTCCCCACTTTGGGTTTTATTTTTGCAGCAGCAAAAACTTTCCATCGAGTCTCTTATCTCTGTGTGGCAGTCAGCCCCCTGGTCCCATTGCTGGTGTGGTTCAGGCACCACCCACCTGTGACATGGTGGCCCGAGCTGTCTGGAGGGGTGCCAGGGTTCTCCACTCAACCCTCATGCCCAAGGCACCAGCGCACCCCGTGCCCAGGAGACGGGTGGCCTGCCCTCACCTTGTCACTGTGTCCCAAGTGCCCAGCCGCGCGGCCGGGGGGACAGGTGGGAGTACCTCTTCATCCCCTGCCACCGGTCCCCAAGCAGGCTCTAGTCCCAGCTGGTGTGGGCTCCGCCCTGACGGGGTGCAGCTTAGAGACAGCGGAGTACTGGGCAGGAAGTGGGGTTTCGGGGTGTGTGGACACGCCCTGTAGAGGCCCCACCCACACTTGTAGGCAAGGTCGGGGCGCTGCCAGTGTGCAAACCTCAGGGCTAGAGAGCATCTGCCCGGCCCCATGCCACGGCCCGTCTTGTCTCAGGTGAATATGCCCCTTGTTCACACGGACACCTGCTTCACCGAGCCATGGGAGGGAGGGACGCAAGTGCCAGGGTGGCTGGGCCCGCACTGGCGGGCTCCTGAGCGGCCAGGACGAGGGAGTCATGGGGCAGAGGCTGCCTGGCGCTGTGTGCAGAACTGTTACACAGTTCAAGCTCAAGCGGAACTGAGTATGTGCTATGTGTCATTGTCACGTTTAATTTAAACTCTACGTTTTGCCATCATAATGAGAGTATTCTCTGTAAGGCTCCAAAGGGAGAGCAAGATGTACATTCTGTTGAGACTTCTGTGGGGCCACGAAATGCTTTGCTGATGCAGTGGTACCAGACGCAGCACTCCGGATGGGACGTGGGTACGAGGCCTGATGGACTTTTAAGGCCAGCAATGCCCCCGCATCCATCCTCCTCACTATCCAGAGCCGTTTTGTGCCCGCTGCTCGAGTGAACCACAGGCTCTCTTCCCAGAGAGAAGAGTCTCACAGATGCCAAAGAGCCTTCGCGGGCCGCCCGTGTGTGCCGTCTGCACAGCCCGCGGGAGGTGGAGACCTGGTCCCAGCAGATGTTCTCAGGGTCTTAGCGGCTCCCGCGGGGTCCGGAAGCAGGACTGGGAAGATGCGTTCAGACTTCGTTAACGTGTTCACAAGGCATGTGATTTCTTTTTTCTTGATGACAAATGTTCTAAGTTTGGGACTTACTTTCCCCTGTGAGAAGTTCTAATATATATTTAAGATAAGTTTCCCTGCTTCAGTTGTGCCTTTCCACGCCCATGGGTTAAAGGATCGCAAAGGGTCATGATATTAATGATGAGGGTTGGTTTATTATCAAACCTGGATAGCTGTGGATTCTCCAGGACATTTTCTTCTACTGAACATGGAGCCATGATTAAAAGTTGATGTTTTTTATTATGTAAATTATATGATATTTTTTGCTTGTTTGATGTTCTATTTTTCTAATAGTTTTTCTTATAGTTTCTTATAATGGCGATAACTAGATTTAGATTCTGATGCTAACAGCAAATCACGCCGGTCTCTGCTGGGCCCCTCCCATGTATTATATTTTATTTTTATTTTAAGGACAAGTACAGGTGTTACCCATCACCTTTTAAAAATGTGAAACTGCTCTGTTTCCCCTTTTTGCCGACCACACTGTAAATTGACAGCTTCCTACCATACTTTATGTTATAAACTCAAACTGTTTTGTGGTACATTATCTCATGCTTCTGCAGATTCCAATAAATTCTCTCTATGGCTTCCATGTGTACTGTGTAATCTCAGGAATTCTAACTGCTCTTGGCCGGGTCCCAAGCCCGTCCTGCCACAGAAGGTTCAGCATCTCCCTGTTTTCCCCCACCTCACGGTCCTCCTCAGAGGGCCTTGCGTTCTTGCAGCCACCGAGGGAAATGCTCATTCCAGCCGCTTGGACTTCAGCCCGGGAGTCCCTCAGACCTCATTTGGGGCCCTGTGCTGCTGTCTCCTCCCCACCTCCCACCCCATGTCCAGGCCTGCCTGGATCTGGGGCCCCAGTGCTTGCTGGCCATCGGGCACATACGGGAGGACCTGGGTCTTCTTAGCTGGACTGCCTCACTCACTGACACCCGCTGCACTGTCAGGGGGAACAAGTAGCGTGCAGGAGAGAGAGGCACGAGGCAAGGACTGCAGCTATTCTAACAATCCTTGGTACCTCACTTCCTCAGCTGCCTGGAGCAATAGCAGTTTTTGCACATGGGGCGGATTCAACTAGGTGACCTTAATTCCCCCAAACCGAGAGCCATGACCCCTAGGTACTGTCCTGGGAGAAAAGGCTTCACCTTTGAATTTGCTTGGCTGATGGAGAGCCCTGGGCAGACACCCAGGGTGCTGGACAGAGAAGGGCAGTCCCTGCTGCTGCCCCTGCCGTCTTCCTGGCCCCCAGCATGTTTAGTTCAAGAATGTGTTTCCGGAGCGTGCCGGAGCACGCCGCACACGCCTCTGCTTCCTCGGCAGCTTGGGGAAGCAGATCTCAAGGTGTGGCTGGTGTCTGGGGAACAAGCACAACCCACCCTCACTCCCCATATCGCTGGAAACAACTTGGAGATGAGCAAGTCTAGCCTCTGTCTTGCTAACGGGCTGGATTAACACAGAATCCCAGAGAGTTCCCATGCATTCTGTAACTGGAAGATAGGCACGGGGCATGCCACATTCCTGGAGATCCTCTTGTGTCCTGGAAGAAGGTGCTCTCTGGTCATTGAGCCACCTTTGGGCCGAGTCTTGCAAGGTGGAACCTTGGTTCCCGCAGCACTACACTGCCATCTAGTGGCTGATATGCCTTGCTGCGTGGGTTGCTTGAAGGGCGGCAGATTTTTTGCAATTTCTAAGAAAACGCTGATCGAAGCTCCCCCAGTCCCTGGAGAGCAATTCAGTCTGCAGGCCTGAGGGGTATCACCTGAAGCAAGCCTTCTCACACCATCTGGTTACGAGTCGCCTCTGGTGAACCAAAGGCTACCCTCAAACAGCTGTGTATCTGGAGAATCCCAGGGAACTTTAACCAGGTAAACTGTCCTGGCCTTTCACAGACCTAGGCCCTGCAGCTGCAGTGCGGAGGGATGGGACCAACTGTAGATAAGCCTGTCAGCCCCTGTTCGAGTTAATTTTTACTACATTAAGCCAGTCCTCCATGCTGTAAACACAGCCATAAAAGATGCAAGGTGAGCAAAGGCTTCAGGAGTACAATAGGCAGTGCCTTTGCTTACACAGTGAACAGCCCAGCAAGTCTGTGGCATCTCAGCGAGGCCAAACACCTGGTCCCAGGGGACTGAGGACTGCGTGGGGAAGCGGGCAGGAGCTGGGCTGGGGCGACTTGGCTGGTGATGATTTTAAAGTCTTCTCAGTAATGGGTGCATGCTATTCCCCTGGCACAGTGGGAAGGTGGGAGAATGCAGCCCACTCTGCCACATCAACTTGGGTGCAAACAGAGAAGTCGCCAGGCAGCACCTGTGCAGTGGCGCCTGCTCTAGTGTCTGGCGTGGCTGCCCAAAAGCAAAGGAACCAGAGGCTACTAGGAGGGGAGGGTCCTAGCACAGGTGCTTGGACCTGCACAGCGTTCCTGGCCTGCTCGAGCTGGAAACACTTTCAGATGCAAATGGATGCATCAGCATGAGAAGCATGAGCAGTTTGGCATTCAGAAACTCCACTGCTTTTATGACGTTTGGGGCTAGAGGTTTAAGAGAAGCAGACTGGCTTTTAAAAGATATTTAGCAAACGTAATTTAAGTGAATTAACTCTCCCGGTCTTCACAGCTAGAACAGCTTGCCGGTCTTGGGGGGGGGGGTTTGTTCCTGTGTTTAAATATTTAATGAGGTCACTGGAGTTGGCAGGAGTCTCACCTCCTGGCCATCAGGGATGAGAGAACAGGGTGTAATCGAGTCAGGCATTGCTTGATGCCCATGCACTGATGCAACACGAGCTTTGCGAATTGACCTTCAACTCCAGCTCCAGGCAGGAAGCCGTCCAGCTCCACCCCAGCACGTTTTCTGGTGATCGATACAAATCTCCACACAGGACAGCTGGGCTGGCCAAGGCTCCTCGGTGCAGAGGAGGGGACAAATGAGTTGACTGCAAAGGTCTTCTCTGTTGCAGATCACTGGAGGGAGAGGGCAGCGTTCTCCACAGACAGAAGAGAGTCGGCGCTAATCTCATTTCCCACATGCGCCAGGCGGCCACCACTTGGCTCCTTTGCTAACAGAGGTGCTGACTTCTGCCTGTGTCTTGCACAGGGTGGTGATAAGGACAGTGAGAGTGGCTACCATGAAAGTGAAGGGCATTCAAGGCATTCCAGAAAAAACTAAAACATCGGGACATGAAGACAAGTAAAAGCATTTATCAATGGTTGTCACTACCAATGATCTGGGAAGCACAGATGACTGGGGAGGGGACCCTGGGGTGTCCCTCGTGAGGCCAGGAAGTGACATGGAGGTATGATGCGCACAGTGGCTCTTTAGCCATTGCTCGTGAGGGCAGAGTTGCCACACTCTCCCTAAAGTAGTTGCCACTCTCATGCCCCACAAAGCCACCACAAGGAACTGGCAAACACACGGATCAGTCCATTGTGAACCCGAGGAGTGCCTGGCACCTGTGGGACACTCTGAGGCCATGCAGCCCAAACTGAAGGCTGCTGGGAAGGAGGGTAAGTGAGCTCTTCCAGGGTGAAATGAGTGAACTGGTGTCCTAGCCGTTCTTGGGGTATGGACGAGACAAGCATAGATTGTGAGCGTGCTGTATCCTGTATCATCAGTGTGGCACAACACCAGGTGGGCCATGGTAGGAGAAATAAATACACATGGCTAGAGCAGACTCTCTGGGGTGGAGAGCCTAGGTCTGAATTTGAAATCAACAGTGAAGGATTTTGCTCTCATTTTTGTGCCTTCTTTCCAACTAACTCCAGCTCAACCCAGCTGGGCAGAGCAGAGCCACTGGGCTCTCCAGGTCCAGGGAATGGGCTGCTGAAGACGCTGGCCTCGAGAGTAGGGCCAGGGCCCTTGAGAGTGGGGCCAGGGGCCTTGACCCTGCTCAGTTTGCAGATAGAAGGGTCTCTAGTCTTTCGCTGACAATCTGCTGACATCTCTGGTCTTTTGCTGACAATCTGCTGACCCTACGCACACATACGCACACACACGCACACATACGCACGCACGCACAGACACATGCACGCACATGCGCACATGCGCAAAAACGGAACCCAGCCCGAGAAACGCCTCCCTTACCTCCCTGCCTGGGATGCCCCGCCTGACAAGGACAAATCTCTGGTTACATCAGGTGGATATCACAGAAAGTCCCTCAAGTTCATTTTAATAGGTTTCAGAGTTCAACACAAATATGCAACACAGAAACTGGAGGGACAGGAAAAGGAACATTGTGAACCCATTCCATTAATCCCAGAGAGTGCCAGCCCCCACCCCCTCCTGACACCCAGCCAGAGCCCCGTCCCGGCCTGTGGCAAGCAGAGCGTGGGGACTGGCCAGCACAGGTCCCCCAAGGGCGTGAGACGGATGCTATCTTTCAGGTCTGTCTGAAGCAGGCAAGGAGGCTGCAGCTTTTATACACGATACAGTGCGCCAGCCTGAGAGACAGGCAGATTTCTACGTTGAGAGAGGTCCAAATGCTAACGGTGAGGGGCGGACTATTGAGGAGGAGGTACAGCAGCTACCATCACCTGTGATTCGGGAGCAGTGATGACTCAGACGAGGAGCCATACATGATGGGTGTACGTGATGAAAAAAACAACGCCAGGGCCACATGGAAATTAGCTCGAGTGCCCAAGGTCAGGGCCGGTTAGGGCAAAGCTCTAGTCCATCTAATGAGGGATTACTTAGTTCTAACATCACTACAACTTTGACCGCAACAGCCTAACACTGTACCACATTCTAACATCACACTGAAGTCTGTATTGCTGTGTAACTGCATTTAGCAGGTGCAATTATAGAAGCTGGTCCTCATTTGGAGAGCTAAGCTACAACCAAACGTGTGTTTGCAGGCTGTACCTGCTAGAAGAATAAATTATTAGGTATTAATTGGATGTGGCCTCATCTACTCTAACAGAAAGCCCAACTCATTACCACAGTATCATGCGGCGCCACTAAAGGAAAAGAATTGTTTCTCCAATGTGTATCTACTGTGTGTGTCCCCAGAATGGGCAAGACCCTTGGAGGTTTGCTAGGAACGAGGTGTATCTGAGTCCAGGAAGCCTAGCTTGGAGTCACATGAGGTACACAGACCACATCTGCCTCTGTGTTGCCACGCTTGTAACTTTAGGCAAGCCAACCCCTCCGATGGGCCATTTCTTCCATGTTCTTTTTGCCTGGGACACGCTCGGAGACAGGCCTGTGCTCGGGACGACGTTCAGAGGTCTTAGGGAGAAAAGTGCAGGGGTCTTTGTCATATACAGGGAACAAAGACATCATTATCATCACCCTACTGACTGTTAAAACTACTTCTTTCTTTTGTGTATCATGCTCCTAGACTTCCACAGCACTACGGAAATACCTTTCACATTCTAATTCTACCATTTCAGAGACAAATGCCAGTCCAGGAGCTCGTGGCAGCTGGCTGGTGTTCCGTGGGCTCCTCTGTTTGGGAGAGCCTTCCGGGGCTGACACTGTCAAATGCAGTTTCCCTGATCATCCCGCAGAAAGTATAGTTGTGTTTCTGAGAGGTTGAGTGGTGACCTAGCACCTTTCAGAACTGGTCCTCCAGGACAGAAAGATTGGTTTTCCGGAAGTCCCTGCCAACACCCCTGAGCCATTTCAATATGCAGTGATGGGGTTGAGTTGTAGAACCGAATTGAAGGGTAGTTGCCTAGGAAATATGGGCCTGAGGGTCATATTTCAGTGAGCTGACCATGTACAGCACTGTATCACAGTAAGCCAAACAGAATGGAGGATACTTTCTAACTCTGTACCTGGTCAGGTATGTACCCTATCAGCAGATCCCCTTCACGAGGATGGGACGGGATGGTCTTGGTCATCTCCAGAGTCATCCTCATCCTCACTGCAAAAGGTCGTGCTGGTCTACGTATTCCCAAGGGTACGATAGTACCTTAGTGACTGATTCCAAGATACCATTTAGGAAAAAAGCAAAACTGTGTTTACATGACTACAGATGAGTTGCTATCATGAGTAACAGCAGGAAAACTACTCAGTCCCTTAGAGTTTCCCACTTTTATCCTTTATCCACTCATGACAGGAGGATTCATAATTAAAACTTGTGAATGGAATGGTAGTGACCTCACGTCAAGCGGACTAAGAAGCGGATTGTTCTAAAGGCAGTTACCGTTCACAAATCGCTGGTGCTTGTGTTAAACAGAGTACCACTTGCTGGCAGGTTGAAAGGCGCTTCTTCTCTGTATCTGGATTTTTTTTTTTCCTTTTTCTATTTTGGGTAGAAATATTCCTGGGAAGCTAGATAGAAATGCATTTTCATTTCCCAATAATCCTTAGGCACAAGTTAGAAAACTGCTGATCTTCACTAAAATATGTCAGCACATCACATTATAAAAAATGCAATTTGGAACCGCCGCATGTGTATATACGTGTATCTAAATATATACACATCTCGGTGCAGTACACAATGATTATTCAATGTATATTCAAAACTGAGCTATTTGTAACTAACCTGAAATTCTGCAGTGAAAGTTCGTCATTCAAGAAACAATTGGAGTTGTCTGTCTTTTGGCTCTAACTATGGTAAAACATTTTTGCACATCAGACTACTGTTTACATCTTCCTAAGTGCCAGTACCGGGTCAGTCTACACAGGGGTCAGAAGAGGCTGCTGCCTGGGATGCAGTATGCAGCTACTGAGCATGCGCGCAGGGCGGCTGGCTGGCACCTGGTCAGCATTCCCGGGGTGAACAGAAGCCGGAGCTCCCGCGGGCTGAGTGGTGACGTCATCTGGGCGTGGTGCTGACTCTGGCTGGAGAGGAGGGCCCTGAGGAGGAGCCTCGGTAAACTGGGGAGGTGGGGGAGAGTTTAATCGGGCTCGTGGGGTCCCCCGTTTGAAGCTTCCAAAGCAGCTCTTCGTTGGTTCTGCTCAATCTCTTCTTCTCCTGGGTTTCTTTTTCCACGTACTCCTGGAGATTAGCATTTTCCTCCGACAGCTGCCTGCATGGGAAAGAACAACAAGCAGTCACGCAGCAGGCACGCTAAGGACACTTCCCTTGAGATCAGCTCCAGGGGTGGTGCATGGCGAGGCAGGAGGTGGCCACTGCCTGCATGCATGCGGAACGGGACCAGTCTGCCCCAAGGATCAAGAACTTCGGCTGAAACATCACTCCTGGACTGCTGAGATGCCCATTGCCAGAGCCTGTCTCCGCACACGGAATCATCTCATTCATCCTCTGCCAGGTCACAGCCATCCAGTGACAGCAAAGACCAGCGGCTGGAGAGGAAAGGCGGGACATGGGTGGCAGTGTACAGGTGCCGCCAGCAGGCTCGGCGGACCAGGAGCCTCGTGGTGTTGGTGGTGTGCCTATGGCACGAGGAGGTGGTGGCACTTTCTCCCACTCTGAGCCTATGTTTGCAGTGAGGTTGCTGAGACTGTCATCCCCAGCCTGGGGCCTGGGGCCCCATGGTGCAGAGATGATGGGACCTGCTGCCCCAACCTAAACCTCTGAGGTGGGAACAAAGTGTGAACACCAGGAGCTCACAAGTGGAGGCAATGGTTCTGTGTGCATGTGTGCAAGAGCATGCATGTGAGTACGTGCGCGCGCGTGTGTGTGTGCATACGCCTGAAAGTATGAAGGCCCATGAGACTAGGCAGAAGTGGTTGTGAGTGTGGGAATGTAAGTGTGCATGAGTGCAGGTGTGCGTGTGGTGTGTGTGTAGGTGAATGTGTGCACATGAGCATGTCTCGCCTGGGTGTGTGTGCAGCAGGATGACACACTACACATACTACAGATGTGCCCACGGGCCCAGTCCCGTAGGGAGGACGAGCGCTCAAGCTTGAGGCGCACCGCTGTGGCTCAGACCTTGCAGATGTGAGAACCTCCAGCTGCCAGAGGAAACGGAAAGAGTGCACATCCTCCCTCAGAGAGCAGGCCTCCCCAGAGCAGACCCTGCAGCCAGGACCCAGAGGGAAGTGGCAGGTCTTTGGAAGCCTAGGGGTGGCCCCTAATGGTGATTCCACTTTGCCTGAGAACATCCCATTGCGGATCTTCTAATCTCTTCCAGAAATAGATCCCTGCACCCCTTAGTACTGTTGGGGGCCTCTGCTGGCTCCTTTGCTGACTGTAGTTGTTCCTGGGGGTGGTACTGATATGCCGCCCATGCAGAGACTAGGTGGTCACAGCCATGTGCTTCTGTACTGCCGGCCATGGGAGAAGCCAAAGGACTGCGTAGCGAAGCTTGGTAGCTCAGAGGGAGGCAAACTGGACCAAAAACAAGAGAAAGCCGGAGGGCAAGGCCACTTCCAGGGTGACACATTCTGTAAGCCCAGACGCCAGGCCCACCTACCTGGTGACAACTGTGTTCTGGTCAATCCTGGCTTTGAGGTCTTCATTTTGCTGCTGGAGGACTTGGATCTTTTCTTCCAAGATAATGTTCTTTTCAGCCTGTAAAGGAGATGGAATGTAGAAGTTTTCAGTGAGGCCATAAGGTAGGCTGTCCACCAGCACCCTCGGCTTCTGGGCTTGCAGGATTATCAGGAAGAGCATTTGGCAAACTGCAGTTTGTGGTGACTCTTGGGTTGTAAAATCAGGTGGAGGGATGTGATCAGTTTTTTTGAAGAAAATAAAAAAATGCCAGCATGCACTGTTGGTAATAAAAGCGAGCGCTGCTGTGTACATTTTAGATGTCTATCTTTATTTCATTCGTTGTGTGAATGTGTTTGTACTGAGTTTCTATGTAAATGCTGTGTATTTGGTCCTTAAATTTCAGAGATAAGCCATGGGTAGCACCAGGATCTTTTTTTTTTTTTTTGGTACCGGAAATTGAACTCAGGACCTTGTGCTTGCCAGGCAGGCGCTTATGCCACTGAGCTATATCCCTGGCCCTAACCCCAGGATCTAGTTTGACCTGCAGGTCTTGTGCTTCTTCCCAAAGGGTCAACCAGATCACAGCAGTGTCTCTGACCAGGCAGGCACACACTATCCTGCTCAGAGTCTCCCGAATAAATGGAGGCGTAGAAATAAGGATAATGTGGGCACATTTTTCCTTTGGATCCCATGGGCAGCCGGAAACACAAAGCCAAAGATCAGCTTGGCACGTGATGAGAAAATTCCATCATCCCTTGGTTGTCAGGACATAAATTTCTCCCACAATTGACACCATTTTCCTATCTGTGTTCCTCGGGCCTGAGACCTAGCTGAATTGCAGTTCCATTCGAAGATGAATTTAGAAATAAATTAATTTTTGAAAGACTCTGACATTCACTGTTCATACAGTTAATCTTTTAAGAAAAACTGCCACTTACCCATGATTAGGGGTTGGGAATTGGAGCCACAGGGCTGGCCTCTGTCCCTGATCTTTGGCAAGGGACCCCTCCTGGCCCTCATCCTTGCTCCCAGGAAATGGGAAATGAGCAAGTAGTTTCACTTGCCTGGAAGGCAGGGAGAAGTCACACATGCCTGTAGTAAAACCCGAATATGGGTAAAAAGAGACTGATAAGCCCAGGGGCATGTGGGTGGCCCAATGCTGATAGTCTGGCCCTAAGAAGAAGGATATCCAGTGGCTCTTAAGTCCCCACACTAGGCAGACTGCAAGGCCCAGTCAGGAGGGGACAGGTTCTTCTGTGTGTCCCCTGTGGGCTCTGGCAGGTGCCTGGAAGTTTGGGGCTGCTGTCACGTGTCAGGTGGCCCACCTCACCCAGGGTGCTGGTAACAGAACACCGTAGTCTGTCTGCTACCTGACAAGCACTCCTGCAGTTAGGGATGTCTGTGGGAAGAGACAGTGCTAAGCTGAGAGGGGGCTTGAGGACCAAAGGCAACAGGTGCTCCTGGATCAGCTTCTGGCTTCGAAAAGCCAGCTGCAAAAGATGTTCCAGAGCCAAATGGAGAACTTTAAAAATGAGACCTGAGATGACAAGTTAGAGGCTGGTTAACTGAAAGAAAGTAGGCTACAGAACTCTTGTACAGTGCAATGGTGTGTGTGCGTGTGTGTGTGTGTGTGTGTGTGTGTGTGTCTAAGAAGCAGCTCTGAGAAGTGTTAACCATGGTAGGAATATGATTTAATTTTCTTAGTTTTGTTTACCTCACTGTATAATTTTTTATAATTGTACAATTCCCTTTATAGCAGCAGGAGTTTACTTTAAAAAGAGCGCTAGTAATAAAAAGATAAGCATCAATCTAGACCGTTGGTCACCTTGCAGTGAAGACGGGCGTGCAACTCATATGACGGCAGGCATCTCTGCTCCTCACTTTGGACACCCTTCTCAGACTCGAGACAGCCTGGGCCTTGAGCCTCAGCCTAGGGAGAGAGATCTGGGGTGCTCTATTTCCCTAAGGGAGCCCTTGGCTGCTAGTTGGCTGGTGAGGGGTCAATGAGAGCAAAGGCTTTGTTATGAACTGCTTGTTCACGTCCTTCCAAAATGTAGACACCTCACCCCCAGCTGACAGTATTAAGAAGTGAGGTCCCTAGGACCTGACTGTATCCTTATGACTGGACTTAGTACCCTTATAAAAGAGGCCCCAGAGAGCTCTCCTGCCCCTTCTGCCCTGGGAGGATCTGGAACACTCGGCCACTTACTAGCTGTGGGTGAAATACTTGTCTCCCTCTGCAGGCCTCCACTTTGCCCCTGAAATGGCTCATGACTACACAGATACACCTACTGCCCCGAGAGCTGTCGAAAAGAACAAGGGCTTTACTCAGGGCACAGCACACACGAGCGACGCATTCCAGCTCACCACACGTCCTCTCAGGGGTGGGGGACGGCGCTTTCCGCAGGAAACCAGAGTGAGGAAAGGAGAGGCGGGCAGTCAAGGGAGGAGCTCGGAGCTGGACAAAAGGAGGCCACCAGTGAGATTCCTCAGCAGAGCCCCACCTCCTGAGGGAGGCCTTGGGGTTTAGCCATGGAATTCTCTGCTCCAGTGTAAGCAAGAGTCAGGGAAGAGGCGGGGCTCACGGAACACCATCAGCGGTGATGACGTCAGTGACGACAGTGGGAAAATCACAGTGGCTGTTCTCCTGACCAAGCGGACCGACTCACCAGCTTTTCCAGCTCAATAATCTTCTTTTCCTGCTGGTGTATCTGCTGATTCTTCATCTCTAACACCTGCTTCAAACTCTTCATGTCTTCTTCCAAGTGCTGGTAAGGAGCCAGTGCTACCTACAGGGGCAGAAAGTAACCAACTATTGATAGCGTTCCCAGGAAAACCAAGGGTGGTCCAATGTTGTGAATCCAGCTAAATCTGGCCTTCTGCAACCAGCTACCCAGTGGACATCTCTACCCCAGTGAGATACAGGGTGCTTACGGCGGCCGGGCTAGGGAGCCCTGCTAGCACTGGAGCCCCCTACAAATCCAGCCCAAGGATGGGGAGTGGGGAACGAGGCATGGCCACAGTCCACTGGGAAGTCTGAAAGACAGAATTGCTGGACAGTGCCAGCCCGCCCCAGGAGGGAGCTCAGGGCGTCGAGACAGGAAGCCCAGCACAAGCTTCTAACATTCTCTCAGATGACGTGATTCACCAGGAAGCTGGGGTCTCATGGTCCCACCTGCACCCGTGGAGAGGCCCTGCTCCCATGCACATGAAAAGAGCAAACTGGCTTAAAAAGTAGAAAGTCCCTGAAGAGAAAGGCATAGTAAAATAGTGTTGATGGATGTAATCCACGAAAACACAGGATATCCATTCAATTTTGATATCAGACAAACAACATTAAAAATTATTTTTAGTGCAAGTATTTCAGTGGGAGATACTTATCCTCAACTCTTTGTCTGTCCTTAATTCAAATGTAATGGGGGTGTTGTGTGTTTTACCCGGCAGTACTGTATTAAAGGGAAGGAGTTTTCCCAGTTTTTCTGGAAAAGCTCTCCTTGTCCTATTAGTTTCCCGTCCTGTACCAACCTAAAGCGCAGCTGGGAGAACAGTACTGAGGGCGACCCTGGCCAGGATGACAAGTTTCCAGAGCCTGCACGTCATGGGATCCCAGGGACCCTGTGTGGGGGGCATGGTGGGCTTTGGTGTACGGAACAGACACACCCACAGCGCGGTGTGTCACAGGGGAGAGGTGCTGAGAGGCACTGTTCGAACACCCGGGGGAGGCTGTGGCCCGCTGTCACGTTGCAGCAGGTCAGCACAAACGCCTTGTCCATGGGCAGGGGTGAGGAGGGGGCCAAGGGCCTTGTGGTGCAGACAGCCCTGAGAGCTGTGACTACCTCCAGCTGCTCCTCTGTGTTTTCCCTCAGGGCCTCCTCAAAGCGCCGCGCTCGGTCCCGCAGAGACTGGCTCTGGAAGGTCAGCGTGTCCACCTGGTCCTGCAAGGAATGACACAAGACGGCCAGAGTGGGCCACTAAGGAAGGACACTGTAATCTGCGAGGCTACCTCCCCCAACAAAGACAGGTCCAAGGGGGAGCCCCACGTCCCATGTCCAGGAGATGGAGGAAGACACCACCGCTGGCCCTTCTTGGTGATTTGACCAGAAGAGACACAAAACGTAAAATGAATTCTTAGGCTTGTGATCAGAGGACATGTAATGTCTGCTATTCCAGATGCAGCCTGTAGCGCGAGGCATCCACAGGGCAGCCAGTCCTGATTTTACAAGGGCCACAGCTCCTCTACCACAAGAAGAATTGTTCTCAGTTATAAAGCATAAGCCAGAAGCCTTCACATCAGCCCGGACTTCTTTCTCTGAGGCCTGTCTATCACCAGCACCAAAGCAAATGAGTCAGCGATCAGTCCTGCCCGTCCCTGGAACCCACGGCCTCTGCTTCTCTTCCTGGCTGCCTTTCTGGGTATGATTCTCTCCACTGGCTCCTTCCTGGCCTCCTACCAGCACCGCATGACTGCCCTTTGCCTTCAGGAAAGAGTCAGGCTCTTTCTGAAGTGCAGACTCGAACCTGTCCTTCTGCTACCTGTAACACCTCCAGGTGCCCCAGGGGCAGCTGTGTGTGTTCTTCACCACAGTGACCAGGCTGGCCTAGGTTCACACATCTCCCATCCCACATCCCAGATTCCCTGTTAGCGGTGCCTTCCTCCGCCAGCTCCCGCGCACTCCTGTTCATTCCTGGCCCCCAGTCTGCCTTCCTGGCCTCAGAGCTGGGTAGCACGTCCCTGATACGAGCTACCACAAGAGCAGGGCCACTGGTCACCTCCTCTCTGTTTAGACCCTAGACCTTCCCCACTAGACGGACACTCCTGATCCCCAGCATACTCCTCAGTGGAACAGCTGTGTGTGTTTTGAAGGACGGCAGATCCTTTCTGAGGAGGCGTCCAGCCCCTTCCCTGCTGCAGGGACTCCCCTCCTCGCCTCAGCCATGGTTCTCATTACCACAGCGAATGCAGGGCACCGGCTGGCAGCTTTGTCTTGAGGCCTGAGGAGAGCCTCAGTCCTGTGCCTACCCACCCTGAGCGTCCAAGGCCCTCCACCCCACCACTCCATGTCTGTAACGCTAAAACACAGGGACTAGGGCGTCCTGCGGACTCTTCTGGGAGGAGAACTGGCCTCATCCTGCCAGACAGCAGAAGCAGGGCACTGTCAGTTCTACAGCTCTGCGCAGCATCCCTGTGGCCCCTGAAGGCCGGCTGCTGCTGTCTTCCTTCATCACGGCAGAGGCTTCTGGTTCGCAAACCTCCCAGGGCGGGCTCCCTTCCCTAACTGTTTCCTTTCTCTTCTTCTCCCAGTGACTTCCATTTCATTTTTAAGAACTAACATTCCCCACAGCACCTCTCAGTGCAAGTGCTGGTAAATCAGAGCAGTAGAATTGTCACTGGGAGTGTGTACGCACAGGAGTCTAGAAATCATGGCCCAGGGCAGCCCCACCGGGCCACACTCAGGTCCGTAGCACTCCGCAGTTACGTTCCACACTGTGACTATAAAAATGCCTTGTCACTACCTGGCTCCCACACCACACTTCCTGAGTGCCCAAGGAAATGTGTCTTTGAAACCCCCTCTGCACCACTGAAAAGCAAGCAACAAAACTCTCATCAGGCAGTTACTCCCCAGGATAGCTCTAAAATAGCAAGCTGGGATTTTCTTGCCTTGTTTGCTATTATTCACAACAAACCCACAGGGACAGAAAGGCGCTGCTGCAGTCAGACAGCACAGATTGTTTTTCAACTTCGATGGCTACTTTACGTTAGGCTAAGGGGCACAAAGACCCAGCTGGTGGCCACACCTGGTATAGGCCATTCAGGAATCAACAAACGGCAGTATCATAATAACAATAATCATAAATGTAACAATGCTCGTAGCTATTACAATAGCAATGGCTGACACTTGGACTTATTAGTATTTTCCACAAGCCAACCAGTGCTATTGCCTTCAGCTGCTTGCGTTCTTTCCTCGCCTCACTTTGCCTTGCTTTGCTTTTTCCCTTCCCTCCCCCTCTCCTTTCCCTCCCCTCCCCCTTTCACTCTCCCCTCCCCCCTTTTCCTCCCCCCTTCCCCTCTCCTCCCCTCTTCTTTTCTTTTCTTTCTTTGGTACTGGGATTATACCCAGGGGTGCCCTACTGCTGAGCTAAAGCCCCAGCCCTTTTTATTTTTAAGTTTGGGACAGGATCTCACTAAGTTGCCAGGCTGGCCCCAAACTTGTTATCTGTCTGCCTGGGTCTCCCAAGTGGCTGGGGTGACAGTGATGTGCCACCCCACCTGAGTGCCATTTACTTTTGAGACCTTCTTTCTCTTAACCTGCTCTTCCTTGAGAAAAGCACTGTTATCATCCCCATTTCAAGAGTGAGTGAACCAAAGTTTATAGAGCCTCTGTAGCTGTCCAAGATCTCACAGTTAGAGAGAGCAGGCACAGCATGGGTTTAAATGCCAAGCTCAAATCTCTGTGCACCCAAACTAGCTATTTCTTCCAGCTGCTGGTAGCCCAAGGAAGCTGACTTAAGCGAGTCCGCCCTGCTCCACCCAAGAGTCTCCAGCCCCAATGGATTCTGCTGGGTGGAGAGTTACAATTAAAACATGCAGAAGGGGCTGGGGATTTAGCTCAGCGGCAAAGCGCCTGCCTGGCAAGTGCAAGGTCGTGAGTTTGGTTCCCGGTACTGAAGAAAAAAACCAAAACCAAAAAATAAATAAATAAAACATGCAGAACTCATGGTCACTGATGCTAGTAGCACAATGAAGACTCAGTGATGAAATGATTTTTTTTTTCCTTTCTGGGGATTGGCTCCAGGGCCTCAGGGATGTTAGGCAAGCTCTGTGCTACTGAGCTACCCTCCCAATCCCTAAAGTTTCTGAACAGCACACTCGTGGCTGTGATACGGGTAGTGCCACACTTCTGGATTCTTCTCTGGCAGGGCACCTCCGTGTGTCACATGCTGATACATGCTGAAGCAAGATTCCTTCCTAGAGTCTGTGGTTGTGGGAATTGTTTACCACAACTTCCAAATATCACTGTCTCTCATATTTAATAAACAACTGGATATGATCAGAATTTCTGTACTTGGAAATGAAACTGGCCCACCCACCTCACCCTTGTAGGTTGGGGACCATCAGTGGCTTTCCCAGAATAGCAGATCTGGGTTTCTGGAGAACATGCAACCCAGGAGACCTTGCATTCTCCTCTTAAGAGACCAGTGGGAAGCAGGGCAGCTCTTGTAGCATCTGAGACCAACATTTTCTTTAGGCAGCAGTGAGAGGCACTGAGGGTATTTTTCATCTCATCTACTTCTAATGCTTCTAAAGTGCGGTATACGCATTCTGACTTCACAACTTTCCTTGAACGGTTCCCCTGCTACACTCTTATCTGCCCCACATCCTCCCCTTTCTACAAGCACAGCCCAATGACTATGCACATACCTTCGGTCAGATCAAATGCTGAGTAAGCGCCCTGAACTTCTGCAGTGCCTCAGCTGTATTCTCCATTTGATCCAAGTGTCTGTCACCTTTTGTTGCTGTCTGCTGCTATTTGTGGCACAGCTCTCTGAGTAGCCAGCCAATTCCTAAAGGGCCAAGCATATGTCTTATCTGCCTCTGTATTTCAGTGTTTTGTTCAGGATCTGGTATACAGTAGGTGCTGGATACACCTTTGTGAGCAGGATTAATGATATCCCTTAAGAAAACTAAAGAAAAGCTAACCTGTAACGACAGCCTCAGTTTTTCAAAATTTTCTTCCAATTCTTTCTTTTCAAGTTCATGGGTAGACACCAGTTCTGGAAAGAAGACACGAGAGGGTTAGGCTGGTCTTCTGAAAAGGATAAAGCAAGACTCTTTTGACAGAATAACATTAGTGACTTTAGCTAAATAAATTGTGCTGGTTAGAGCAGATTCAAAGCTCAAGAGACTCCCCTGATAGTTTGAAACGGTATCTGATGGCCAGGTTGTGACTTAGGAGAGAGTAAGAAAGGAAACGGACTAAGGGAAAGGAAGAGAAAATGGAAGAAGAAAGAAGTTAAGGAGGGAGGCCAACAGAACACACAGGCACACACCGCATGCTCACACACACACACATGTACAATTCTGCATCCTGCTGTACCCCCCTCCCCCTTAGGTCCTTTGCTCACAGCACCCATTGATTTTCCTATTTTTCCTAAAAGCAAAAACAATTAACTGATGTCCAGTGCCCATTCTTCCCCTCCCAGGACTTGTATTCCCAGCGTGAAGCAGCCATCTGGAGCTGAGGAAAGAGCTTACTGAGGAGAGTGGGTGTGCAATGGGCCACACTGCAAGATAATGGATGGGCACATGGGACTGGTGCTGTGTCTACAAGGACACCTCGGCGGCCTCTGGACCACACTCTGAGAACTACAGCTTGCTAGGGTTTTCCGGAGCGAAGATGTGTTGTGAAGACACTCAGAAGGAAGGACTAATTGGACTGGTTCCTCTCGGAGGGCTGGGGACAATATTGTTCTGTGAAGTGTCACCACAGCAATAGTTTGCAAGTTAGGCAGAAAGAAATGTCATGTAGCAGTTATTAAGCAAATGGATTCTGTTTTCTTCTGGTTGAGAAGAGCCGTATTAGCTTGGTGAAGCCCATCTCATTCTGGCTACCTAAGCAATTTGTTTTCATGTTATAACTGGAGAGAGAAAAGGTCTCATTAATCAGCCCAGATCATATGCTGAAAATAGGAGAGTGCTTCAGCACAACAATTACCATTTTGTCTGGCAAGAGATGCAATTAGGAAAAACTTTGTGGTTTTCATTGACCCAAATCTTTTAACTAATGGTGGAAAGGCTGCTGAAAATTCTAGTTGTCAGAGCTGAAATTTACACGTGGAAGAAAAGTCTGTGTTGATTTCATTGACATAAAACCAAATGGCTTCTGGTCTACCTGCCTCAGTCTATATGATTAGTTTTAACAGACACTGAGAGCATCTTCCTGACCATGGTAATGAATTTTTTAAGCTCTTATTACACCAGCTCTTAAAACCACACTGTCTTGACATTATAAATAATTCAAAGACCTTATATGTGCTGCCTAAGTAAGATTTCATTTGTCAGAAAAAATAATCTACCATACCTGTTTACATGAAAATCCTGAAGCAAAAGGCAAGGCCATGGCTGATTATACCATTTGCATTCGTATTCCCTTTCCTGAGACCAAGTTCCTACAGTGCAGTAATGAGCATTTTCAGATGACCCCATAACCCAGGGGAAAAGAAAAGCCAATATCTAGTCCGAAGATGATATAAGGCATTGCTTATTATACAATATCTGTGTCCCCGTGATGTATTTCTTTATTTCAAGATCATGACACTCCCTTCTGTCTTAATACTGTCCTCTAAAACAATGGTTCTCAAATTTTTCTGCCTATTAGAACCACCTGGGGAATTTTTAAAACTTCTGATGCCTGGGCTGTCCCCTAGCGTAATTAAACTGGAATCTCTGAAGTGGGATCTACACATTTTTTTCTTTACTTTTCTCCTAACTCTCCCTATAGTTCCAATGTGTAGCTAAGGGTGGGGACCAGTAATCCAAGGATACAGATAACACATTTAACTAGTTCTTAAGAAATTATTCTCTCTTACCTGTACTGGGACGTTGTCCTTACTAATAGTTCCCAGAGGTGATGGACTGGTGCTTGAGGGAAGCTATAATATGGGCATTGGTTCTTTGCAAAGAACAGTTTTAAAATAATAAAAAACCTTTGATGTTAATTGTCAGATTTAAAAAAATTTATTAATTGATTGCTAAATCTCACTGTTTTTTAAATATATTCTTTAACAACCAGCTGATGGAGGAGAGAATACAGGAAGGGGAAATTAACATAAATTTCACATATTAATATGAGTGCACAGGAAAAAGTAAAAAGCATCTTCTTCACGAAGGATAACCGTAGTAGAATTTAGTACCATTGATGCTACTGATTTACACAAAGCCCTAAGTACCTGAAGTGTATTAGTCTGTTTTGTTACTATAACAAAGCATCTACGGGAGGCTAAGTTTATAAAGAAAAGAGGCATACTTAGCACACAGTTTTGGAGTTTCACAGGCACCGTACTCACATCAGCTCAGCTCAGCTCTAGCGAAGGCTTCACGTGACAGCTGCTCCAACTTGGATATTCAATGCCCCTCAAAGGCCCATGGGCTAACGGCGTGGTCCCTAGTGTAGTGTTACTGAGAGACGGTGGAAACTTTTAAGAGGCAGGGCCTGGTAGAGGCTCTTAGGTCACTGAGCAGAGAGCCTGGCCTCCTCCTTGCTCTCTTTTGCTTCCAGGTCATGAGGTGAGAGGCTTTGCTCTGTAACATATCCCGCCACGATGTGCTGCTTTGCCACAGGTTCAGGGCAATGAGACTCACCTATCACGGACTGGAACTCCCAAAGCTGTAAGCCCAAATAAACCTTTCCTCTTCACAAGTTGGTTACTTCAGATATTTTGGTATTGCAATGGCAAGCTGACTAACACAGTACCCATACAAGAAGTTACATCAAATCACCAAACAGGAAGCCAGACAGACTAGGGTCATGCATTCCTTTCTAGGACCATCATGACCTAAGGATGTCTCACCAGACCCCACCTCTTAGAGGTCCCACCACATTTCTTGCTCTCCTGGGAAAAAGATGAGCCCCTGGGAACTAACCCACATCTAAGCCATAGCACAAGGGTAATTCAGTAACAAAAACATAGAAAGAAAGATCTGGAGACTGTGTATATCCACAGTAAATGTGGACAAGGAGTGCAAGCCCTGCTGATGCTGCTGGGGCCCAGAAAACACCACAAATATGAGAAGAGCTCCAAGACTGGAGCTTCTATAGTTTCTGTCTAGTTTATAAGGCTAAATTACAAGACAAAGCACGAAGTGTCTACATCTACTTTGGAAGAGTGGTCCTCAAGTTTAGGTCCATAGGATCCTCCAAGGAGTTATAAAAAGTCAGGATGCCCTTGGTGCAGCTCAGACCAACTGTGTCAGAATCCTGGGTGTGTAACCGAGGCCGGTAGAGCTTCTCAAGGGGTTCCAATATTCAGGCAAGAATGAGAATAACTGCTTTGGAGGAGAAGAATTTTGTAGCTACCTGAATCTTTTTTTTTTTTCCCCAAGGCTGGGGGTACAACCTTGGGCCTAATGTAAGCTAGGCAAGTGCTTTATCCCCAGTCCTACCTGAATTCTTAATTTCCATTTATTCTTTTCTTAGACACAAACAGAAAAGAGGCACAAGAAAGGATCAAAGGAGAGCAGCTTCCTTGCTCTGTAGCAGGAAGCGTTCAGCTTGTGTGGCAGCTTCTGCCTGCTGCACACAGGCTGGTAGCTACCTTGGACTTTGCGGTCATGGTCATCCTGCAGGATTGCGATGGCAACTGTGTGGTTATTCTCCATCTCCAGGAGTGCGGCCTCATGACTGGCGGTGATATCTTCAACCTGAGGAGAGTCACAGTTACTCGTTATCCAGAGAACTGGGAGTTGTTGTCAGCAATATCCTTGCTGCTTGGAGAAGACAGGTGCAGTTCAATAAAAGGAAAAGTCAGTGGCCCCGACTGTCAAGCAGAAGTGACAGCGATCCTGACCTGGTACCAAGGCAGGGTCATGACACGCTAGTGTGGTAGCAGTCTCTGGAGTCATGGGACATCGCTACCCAGGAACGGCTGTCCCCGCCACCTCTCTGAGCCCTGGCCTGGCCACTGAACCATTCCATCTTTCTTTCCACTTCTATCCTTTCTCCTTACAGCAGTCACTCTGTGAAGCAACGTGCAGAAGGGAAAGAAAGAGTTCTCCCTATGAGATGGCCTATTTCCTGTGTTTTCCAGTGGCAGGTGGGAGCATACTACACCAGGTCAGTGAAGGAACTAAAAATCCCTGTGCTCCATACTATTGCCTACTCAACCCTCTGAGTAACCGCATGAGCTAGGTATTTTATGCTCAGCTTAGACGTGAGGAAACTGAGGCTTATAGAATTTTAAAGGTTGAGTAAACAGCAGAGCTGGCGGTGGTACCCAGGTCTGTCTTATCTCAAAGGTGAAGCTCTATCAAACACACCACTGTGCTCCCCCAGACTCCATCCAGGAAAGGTCAGTAACATTTCAGCATCCTCCCATGTATACCTGGATGAGGCTGGGAAAGGTGCATGTACTCACTGCTGCAGATTCTGAAGCATAAACTGGGCCCTAGAGTACACTTTGAACTTCTCTTCTCTTCTGCTGCTCCTGCAAAGGGCTTCTGATTCCCTGGCTAAAGGTACATTTCAGGAGTTTAATCACAAGTGGTACAACCAGTCCTGGACCTTTTATTTAGATACTTCTTGATTCCTCCACCTACCTTCCCCCATCTCCTCCTGACTATCATGGTTATTGTTTTTGCTACTGTAGCTACTGTGTTGCTTAATTTCAAATGTGTGATGCTTGAAGTAATTGCATAAAACAACCTCTCTTCTCTATAGCCAACCTCTCTTAGATATGGCACATGATACAATGTTTATCTCAAATCTTGGTCAATGACCCATTGTAAAATATTCCATTGTACGTGGTAATACAGTGTATGTATACACAGATACGTACACACATGCATTCATGCACACTCCCACAGCTGAAACCCCAGTTGCACAAAAATACTTACCCTTCTCACTTGCAATAATCTGGCTTTACAATTTTATTTTATTTTACTTTTGCTAGCTACCGTCTACTACATTTATTATAGAACCTATGAATGTGTCAAAACCTGACATTTGATAAACATAGATCTACACATTGCAACCAGGTCCTAAAGCTGTGTAGACTGGTTAGAAACCTGTTGCTTCTAGCTTGTAATATTCAGCCACTTCCAAGGGTGCTTCATGGCTTTGGGGATAATTTGCATAATTTCTTCTGTGATCTAAGGGAAGAAGGCCTCTCTATAAGGGCTCATTGACACACGTATAATTTCATGGAGAAATCTCCCTAGCTTCTCTCCCTTACAATGAGCTCTTCAATCTTTAAAATAGGAAAAGTATTGGAAAAAAACAAAATAGAGCCCACAGTACTACTCAGGACACTGTAAACATGGATCGGTATACAGTGATTCATTTTTACTTATTTGACATTCTTGATTAAACAGTGTTTCACCTGAGATTCAGCGTTATGAATCCGCTCATCAAAAAGGTTCATTACAACAGTGTTTAACTGTCCAATTACCTTTATATGAGGTTTTAATGGAATCTTTGTCCAAAGCCTTTCATCTGTTGGAAACATAAATCACTATTTTAAAAAAAGGAAAAGGAAATGTCCTTTCTTTCTGCTCCATTACGGATGTAAGTTAAACACATAGCATGCATGTTTAGAATCAAGTATGTGCATGTTTTCTGGAGGTATGTTACACAGATCAGTACAGCGAAACACCTTTCGTCAGTCCTTGGCATGGTTTCCATTTATGGGCTCTCACATAACTTACCATGGGAGGGTTCCGAAAAGAGAAACAGAGGAAGGGCTAAGTCACAGAACGGTCCCTGGAGGTATAACATGTGCCCGGTGGTAATACTATAGCACGTTTGTGGCTAACATGCGTGTTCTTCCAGCTTGCTGGAGACATTTAGTGGTGATGGAATTCCATTCCCACCATATTAAGGATGATATAAGAGCAAGATATATCCACCACCACCTCCATTAGTGAAATACTGACATTTTAACTTAAAAAACCCACACAGAACTAGAGGAATGACCAGTATGTTTGGTAGGAAATCGAAGAAAGCCCATGAGCCAAAAGTTGGACATAATCATTCTTGATCTTCAGTAACTCAGGTTTCATGCCTCCTTGTATTTTTGAAAGAATGTTCCCTCAGTGAGGAAGGGATGCCGTCTCCTGTGGGCCATCCTCTTCTGTGTCAAGAGTATTAATCTCTGTGACTTTTTCTCCTACAGGTCCTTGCTCCTTTCTGGAGCAGTCATGAAGTCATGAAGCAGCCAGTAGGAATCTCCAGCCTGAGAAGACATTGGAGCCTTCTGAAAGCCATTTGAACAGATTTAGACAAGTTGGCCCAGAAAAACAGGATGATTTAATGCATTATAGATTACAAAATCAGAAACATAACTGTCAGGCTCTGGCCGGCTTACGGTGGCTGTCAGAAACCTGGCTATGGCCCCCTTAAAGTACCACTGGTCCGCCCTCCACTGGCCCACCCTTCATACTCCCACACTAAGTCAGAATTCTGGGCGATGGCTCAGAGGAGTCTGATTTTGCCCATCAAACAGTCTCAGTGGTTGGGAAAACAGCTGTTTGCTGGGCTATGACTTCATTCCCGCTGCTGCTTGCTATTTAGCTGAGCTGATTACAGCAGTGGAAAACCATCCCCTCAGATGGGGAAGAACAGAGCTGCGGGCTTTACTGCATTCAGCCATTTGCAAAATGCAATTATCCGGGGCTTTAGTAATTCACTTAGAGGAGACTTACATTCTGGATGAAGAAGCATGTGCTCTGTAATGTCTTGCCTTCTCTCATTAAACCCAAACCAGATTAAACTCCCATTTGCCCCCATCCCAGACATGTATCCGTACCAGATGAGACAGAGGGAGCTGGTTCTTGCTTACTGCCTCCTAATGACTTTCCTTCCCCAGTAACTAGGAAATCCTCCTTCACTTCATCACTGTTACACTATCTAGATGATTAGCCATGCCAGGGCTCTCAGGCCAACTTCATCCCATTCTGGATGTGCCTCATGCCCTCTCTGCAGCCCACCGGTGTCCACAGAGACTCCCTGTGCCCTGCACTGCCTCCTCCCGGCATAAGAAGCTCTGGTGTGGGATAGCGAGGCCCCCCGGGATCTGATTCCATCTGATCAGAGAGAATGTAGTTTCTACTGTGTGCTGGCTGGGAGCGGGCACGACAGCAGGCGAAGGAGACCTAATGCAGGATGATGGACCAAGTGTCTCTGCATTCAGACTGACCATGGAGATGCTGCTCCTGCCTTTGGGTCTAAAAGGATGACTTCTTTAAGAAAGGGTAGGAAGGATGTCCTGGGTCTGAGAAAAATCAAAAATAAATTCCAAAGGATGAGCACCCCTCCAAGGGCAGGAATCTGTGCTCACATTCTAGGGCAGAATCTGTCATGTATCCAGGATTGTGAGGTCCTGGCAACTGACTTCAGGGGAGCTGGTGGAATAAGCAAACTATTTTGGTCTTGGAGGGATGGGGACAAAGTTCTCAGTCCTGGCCCTTGAATACCAGGCTCACTGGCTACATATATTTGGGAGACAACTGAAGGCAGCTCAGAAAGGAAGATGGGAAGCTTGGCTGTGATGCAACTACACTTGGAGCAAGAAAAGAGAAGTACACTCATTTATGGTGCAAGTCTGTTTTGTGTGCTTTGATTATGGATATGCGTGGAATCTGGCATCAGTAGATTGCTAAAGATTGACAGCTGATTTTGATTAAATAACTTTATCATCATAACTTTAAAACAAAAGTTCTATCATACCAGAGTTCTATCATATCCTCAAAGGTCACCCCACCACCACCTATCCTGCCCAACTGTCCAAGCCTCCATGGAGCACCTGCTGGGCTGAGGATCCAGGTCCTGCACCTCCCTGGATACAGGCAGGGGGCATGCCAGAGCCACCTGGGGAGCTCTGAGAAACAGCCCTGCTGGGCACGGTCACACATGACTATAACCCAGAACTTGGGAGGCTAAGGCAGTAGGATCTGAGTTTAAGGCTGCTCTGGGCAACAGAGAGAACCCTGCTATAAAACACAACAAAAACTACTTTTGTGGGGTGTGGTTCAGTACAAAGCATTTGCCTAGCAAGTTCCTGGGTTCAATTTCCAGTACCACAAAATAAGTAAATAAACACAGAAAAATAAAAACAGTCCCGCGCTAGGCTCCACCCTGTTGCTCCAATGAGCAATTCTTATTCAGGCAGTGTGGGCGTTCTGTTCTGTCGGTGCTCCAGCCGATTCCCATATATTCCCAAAGCAGAGACCCTGGACAGGGAGAAAGCCCTTGCCCCTTGAGGTAGTAGACAGCTAGGCAAGAAGAAGAATTTGGGTGAATTTGTCCCTAGAGAGGTCCTGTAGGAAGTCAGAGGTCACCCTGTTTTATGAGCAAGGCCCAGTTTGAGTAAAGCCTGGTACCTGAAACCCCACACAATCCCATGTGTCAGAACCAAAGCAGCCCACACATCACGCTGCTGGCCATGGGGGACTTGGGTCACGATGCGGGGCCAGACAGACAGCGATGTCACTAACTGTTGAGGTTAGCACTGTCGGCGTAACTGTCCAGGAGAAGGAAGACCCAGAGGTGGAGAATGCAGGCTGGAGCAGCTGAAAGCACACACGATCAATCTCCACTTCAGTTTCCACTTGAGTCTGATCTCCACCAGACCAATGGGCATCTCTCCAGCAACTGACACTCGGAGTCCTGGGTGGAGTGTATTTCCTCCTCTTCCCCATACGCTGCATGCTGTACTGCAGAAGTGGATGGATAGGGAATCGGCCAACACTCAGCAGGAGGAGTAGAACCAGGGCCCTAATCAGGCACAGATTTGAACGGCTGGTTCTCCAAACCACGGGGTTGCTATCAGAAGGTCCGTTTATCTCAAAGCATTCAGATGCTATTTCCACCACAGCACTTTCCCTATCCTCACAGCTGAAAGTCGACTCCCAATTCCTAAACAATCTGTCTTTCTCACCCAGGGTTATAGTTCCCTGAACTTCCTCTGTGAAATAAGCAAGCCCACATTTTATAAATCCTGGTATCTCCTGTAGTAGCCTGTCACAGTGCTGTGCATACAGTGAGCTTTCAATGTGTATTGTTTGCATAGGAGGATAAATAGATAGATGACTCCAATGACCATAGAAAACCAAGAAGAGCAGAATCCAATGCTCTCATAAGTCTGCCTTTAAAACATACACAGATAGCTAATGGAACTCATGCTCAAGTGAAAAAGTCAGGGGATTTTTTCCTTTCCAATGACTCTGAATTTGAAATGTGCCACAGGCTGTTGTGTCCCAGCTTAGCCAAGAGGCGAGAGCACACGTCCCAGCCTGTTACCATCTCTGACCTCACAAAATATGCAGGTGATAATCTGCCTCTGCACAGAGAGGGCTTGGAGACGCCTGGCCAGGAGCTGTGCTCCACTGCGGGAGCTCCACTTGGCAGTGGCGCTGGAAATGAGGGTCACTCTGTGAACCTTCACCCAGGGGATGTTCCCCGACCTGCTGCCCACCTCCCACTTGTGGCATCTTCTTCGCTGGCCCAGACCTTTGGACTGGAAGTCTTTGAGAAAGGTTACATATTTTCTATGTACACTGGAGAGGAATAGCCCAGGGATACAGAAGCACAGTGCAAGGTGGTATTTGCACCAGGTTTGAGAACATGAAGGAGCTCAGACTGGACACTACAGCAGGAACCAATGTCTGCTGCCAGCAGTTACACGTAGAGAACTTGGGAGATGAGATGCTTGGGCTTTGGTTTCTATTCTTAACACCAGCAGGTAACTTTAGCTGTGATCTTCTCCTCTATGTCCTAGTTGCTGAGACTAAGCCACCTCAAGCAGTCAGGTGCATCTGCTTTTTATCAGCCTCTAGGGAGAATGACTAACCTGAGGTGCTTGCTGTGTAAAGTAAAATGCTCTAAAGTAAGAGGCTCTTTATTACTATTGTGATACTTATTATTAGGCTGAAATGTGTCCCATGTGCCTTAGGACTCACAAGTCTCTGGGGCAGGGGGATGTGCTGCTGGTACTGCCATCTGGGATAATTACTGGAAACAGCCTAGGGAGGTCAACCCAAAGGTTGGTGATAATGAAGAGCCATGCAGCCCCATCCTGAGATTTAAAGAGCACTGCTCATTAATGGTAATTTACCCTGAACACAGGCAGATTGTAAAATAACATACCAGTGAGAAGCGGGGAACCCAGGCATCTGAGCTTGGGGATTTAGAGAGAAGAAAAATAAAAGGAACAGAGTTTGTGGAAGCAGATTGGTTTGCTCTGCCTGTTTCTCATCAGCACTTACAGAAGTAATGGGCAGCAGCATCTGGCTGTGGGGTGGGCACATCTGGCTCATACCTGCTTTCACATTCACAGACCCCATGGGAATTATTCCCTCATTATTCCTTGGATCAGTTTCCCAGCCCAGAAAAATTGCTGGGCTAAGGTTAATGATCGGCATTCATTATTTCGTTCAGCAAATACATGTTTTGTGCCTAACTTCCACAGGCATAGTTCCAGGAGGAAGATGAAGCAGGAAGTTTGGCAGGCAGGTCTAAGCCAGTGCTTGGCAGCATGCACTATGGAGCCAGATTGGATTCCACACTGGCTTTCCCATAAGGAGCTCTGTCAATTCTTATTTAACCACATGGACTCAGTTTTCTCACCTGTAAAGTGGAGATAAGAATGGTACCTACCTGGTAGGGTGATTGAAGATTCAGTGAGGCAATGGATGGACAGCTGAAAGCAGTGCCTGGCGCAGCAGCAGGGCTAAGTATATGTCTGCCTGTTATCATCTCTGCCCTCATGGTATATACAGGTAAGCAGCAAGTGCTGAAGAAACACTACAGCAGGCAAGGGGACAGGAAGTGTGTGCATGTCACAGGGGAAGGAAGTATAATTTTAGATAAGGAAAGATCACTGAGAAGTGATGAGAAAATGATACTGGAGAAAACCCAGGAAGGAAGAGAGAGCAGAAGCCTGCAATGTTTGGAGGGAGAGGATTCCAGGCACAGCAAACCCTGAAGTCCTGAGAAACAGCTAGGGAGGCCAGAGCTACTGGAAGAGTGGTGAAAAGGGTGAGAGGAAGAACTGAAGTCGGAGTGAGACCTGGACCACAAACTCACCCACTGAAGAGGACAGGGTTCCTTCCACCTGCCACTGTGTCACCCACTAGCAGAGCCCATGCTTGTACCGCAAACTGACCTGTTCCTGGTGCTGACACCGGACCTGCAGCAGTTGACCATGGTGCTCCTCCTGCAGGTGTGCCATCTCTGCCTCAAATTGAAGCTGCAGCCGTTCTTGTAGTTCCTGGAGTTCAGCCTGCTGCTGCCATCCCATCCTCCTCAGCTCCTCCTCAAACCGCCGCTCCAGGTCCTCCTTCTCCTTCTGCAGCTTCTCGCACTTGGCTGTGTTGAAGGCTGGCAGAGAGCACAAGAGCTTATAAACGCACTGGGGAGGGGCCTGGAAGGATTCTACCCAGGCAGCATGCTAACATCCAAAGTACCTAGTAAACAGATTCTCATAAGGGACTCTGGATATTGAAATAAGACTGGAGCTCATGGAGTGCCAAAGAGTTGCCCAGGAGGTGAAATAGCTGGGAAGGTGCATGTAGGATTTCTAACTCCTAAGCCCTTGCACCTGCCTGTAGAGTAGCTTCTCAGATCGTCCAGGGAGCACAAGTATCAAAAATGCAGAGTCCAGGTGCACCCTAGGAGAAGTAGAGCCCCCAGGCTCCTCACATGGGCACTTATCTTTGTAAAGTCAAAATGCTATGTATGTGTCTTACTCACTTTTCTTGTTGCTGAGACAAAATACCTGATGCCCAAAGCTAAGGGAAGAAAGGTTTATTAGCTCACAGTTTGTAGAGACTTCAGTCCCTAATGGGCTGGCTCCAGGGCAGGATGGCTCTGCACAGGAGAACAGTTCATGGCAGACAGAAGACAGGCAAAATCAGCAACCTACCTTAACATCAATTTTCTGCCCCTTTTATACTCTATCTAGGCTGCTGGGATTAGGGCGGTACCAGTCCAATGACTGAATTAATCATACACCCTTAATCCTAGCATCACACGCTCTAGATTCAGCCTCCTCCGAAAAAGTCTTATGACCACATGAGGTTTAGGGGTACAGCTAGACACAAATGATAATATTCTGCCCCTTGACCCCCAAATACTCATGCACTCATGGATTAAAAAGCATTGTCTATCTCCAAGAGTTCCCAAAGTCCTAATAGATTCAGCATTGTTGAAAATCCAAGTCTGACGGCTCCTTTGAGATTTAAGGCAAACTCTTAGCTGTGAGCCACTGTACAAATGAAAAGAAAGCTAAACACTTCTAACATTCAGTGGCAGAAGGTAGACATTTCCATTCCAAAAGTTACAAACGGGGGCATAAAACAACGGGACCAAAACAAGTCCAAAATCCAGGAAGACAAACATTAAGTCTTGTAGTTCCATGTGCAGCATCAGAGGCAATCTATGGCAAGATGTGAACTCCAAAGAGCTTGAGTGGCTCTACTCCTATAGCACTGCTGGTGGTTGTAGCTCCCATGGCTTTTCTTTGGGTTTCCTCTGCTCCCTCCTTACAGTTTTCCTCAGAGGACTCATGTCCCTGGCTTCTTCAAACTTCTGGGGTATCCATTTCAGCTTTGGCTTCACACTCACAGCTTCACACACTGCCCTCTCAGGGACACACTGCCTGGCCTCCCAGGCCTTCGGAAATCTGGGTGGAAGCCTTCCTGACCCTGCAATTCTTGCATTCTGCATGCACCTAAAACCAGTGCCACATGGATGGATGCCAAGGATTGCCATTAGCTAGAGCCATAGCTAGGCTTTCTTCTCTCTTGGCTATAGGGGTTGAGGGCCTGGATCACTGAGCATTCTGAACCTAATTCTGAGGAACAGATTCTCTAGGCTGCCACCATCCTGGAACATGGTGCTCTGGAGCTTTCCTCTTAAAGCAAAATCTTTCACTTTTGTAAATCTGAGACTGCAAAAGGTGGAGTCCTGCTGCTTCTTGTGATGCCCTTAGACCAGCTTTTCTATTCTGCTGTTTCTTATCAGCAATCAAGATCTCCCCTGCTCTATATTTATAGTCTATATTTGGTTTTAGTGGAACTTCCTTGCTGGTTAAACTCACAACATTTTAAGCATTTTGCTGGGCTCTTTGCTCTTGATTCTCAACATATATTTAGCTAAAAGTCTCCAAACGTTGAGGTGAAGCTATGCCACCACCTTGACATTTGACTAACTTGAAATTTCTTCTACAAGATTAATGAGTCAGTCACCCTTAATCTCAGTCTCAGGTAAAATCTGGACATGAGCAAAATGCAGACAAACTTGCTTCCAAACCATTACAAACATCATTTGAAGTCCAATAGCCAACACAGTCCTTATCTCCAGCAGAAACATCCTGAGCCTGGTCTTTCCCAGCTTTCTGGTCTCTGAGCTCTGACCAGAATCTCCCATATATTACAGCCTCAGACATTCCAGCTCTACTTTTTCCAGAGGGCATCTCTGAACCTTTCCAAACTCTTCCCACAAGTCATTCCCACAGTCTCTTAAACCACACGGTCAGGTATAGTCACAGCAACAATCCACTCTCAGTACAAATTCTGTCTTAGTTACTTTTGTCATTGCTGAGACAAAATACCTGATGTTCAAAGTTAGGGGAGGAAACGTTTATTTAGCTCTCAGTTTGTAGAGGCCTAATGGGCTGGCTCCAGGGTAGGGTGGCCTTGCAGAGGAGAACAGGTCATGGCAGGTAGAAGACTGCAAAATCAACAACTGACCTAACAGCATCTTTCTGCACTTTTTATACTATATCTCTGCTTCTGGGATTAGGGCAGTACCAAACTAATCAGTGAACTGATCACATACCCTTAAGCCCAGTATCACACACTCTAGATTCACCTACCTCTGAAAAAGCCCTATGATTGCATTGAGGCTTTTGGGGGACATCTAGACACAAACCATAACAGTATGTTCACCTAAGAAGGTCCATGGGTGACTTTTATGTCCTTTAGGCTTTGACAGCTGTGTACTCATGCATGGAACTGGAGGCAGGGTTAGGGACCCCCATCCAAGGCTCTTCCCTCCTGGCTGAAATGCCAAATGGGACATGAGGTTTCCTTTCAGGTGACCTGAGGCTTTACTGACACTATTCTCAGGGGAATCCATTCTTCTCCACCAGCTTGGTCAGGAAGTGTAGGAGAACAATTAGTGACTTGATACCCCTTGGCATAGGTAGTCACATCTCACCATAGGGGTGAATACCTCATGGTTTCATCAAGTGTGCACACAGCCAGAAGGACACAAGACAAGGACAGCAGCCACCACTGCTTCCATGCTCAGCTCTTCCTACAGGCCTGTTCTGTTTTCCCCCAACCCACCCCACACTATGGGCTAGAGTGGAGCATGCTCATCCTAAAGATCTCTTCCTACACTCAACCTGGCTTCCAAGAAGGGGAAAAACACCTAGACAAAGGTGCACATATGCAGCATTTGACTTCACAAAGACCAAGTGCCCATGCTTTGTGATCTGCATTCACACTAGGGAGACATTGTCTTTTACTTTAAAATAAAGCAAGCACATATACGTGCTGGTTAGCTTTAATCTACACTATGGGATGATGGCTCTGATCAGGAAAATACATCCGAGGTCATTGGATAGCACCTGGATCACCCTACTTAGACGTACCTATCTTACAGAGGCAGCTAATGTAAGGGCTTCTTTGTCACATTCTGTTCTAAAGGAACTTAGTAGAGATAGTATAAGAAAATTCCTGCCCTGGTGAAACATATGGTGGATTGGCCAGGTTTTGTACTAGTACCTTCCTTTGTGTGAATGGTATAGAAAAAGCAATGTGGCCCAAGAGCCCAATGCTATTCCCAAAAGCCTCCTCAGCCCAGGGCTTCAGCGTGCCCATTGTCTTGTGTCCCACCATTTAATGGGGATCCTGATCTATAATCAGAGTCTGCAGAGGGATGGATGTAGATGTCTACTGCACATGTGGGTAATAAGGAGGTACCCTGTCTATGAAGAATTTAAAAGCAAAGCCCAGGCCAACTTACTACTATTCATTGCTAAGAATTCCAAGCAATATTGTGAAAAAATAATTCCCCTCCAAAAAAGCCTTTTGTTGGTTTACATTCTCAACAGTTATTACAACCACTATGGAGGTTTCTAAAAATAATCTTTGTGCATAAATAAAAACACAGGGCTGGAAGTAAAGTTCCCAGGTAGAGCACTTGTCTACTTGTGAACAAATACATGCAAGGTAGCACGCATGAGGCCCCTTGATGGGTCACAAAAATAAACACATAACAATAAAACTATAAACACATAAACATTTGGAAGTACAGTCCAAGGATATTATTATAAAAGAATAAGATGCTGACCTGCCATTCCATTAACCGTGAATTCCATAGTATGTATTCTCTACAAACACAAACATTTCTCCTGCTTAATCATAAAACAGTCATCAAAGGGAGGAAATAAATGTTAATACAATAGTGCCATCCCATAGTCAGCTCTATTTAAGATTCATCAATTGTTCCAATAATGTCCTTTGTAGGAAATGAACCCAGTTCTAAATCACAGATTTCCTCTAGCTGTCCTGTTTCCTGGGTCCTCTTCCATCTGAGACATTTCATCAGTCTCTCTTTAGCTTTCAGAACCTTGATACTTTTGAAGGCCTGGCGTTTTATAGAATGTCTCTCAGTTTCTCATGTCTGATGATTTCTCCTTACTAAATCCTAATTGTGCATGTTTGGTAGGAATATCACAGAAGTGGTGCCATCTTCTTTTTGACTAAGTAATCACAAATTTGAATAACATCTTTAAACTATAATTTTCTCTTTGTCTAGTTGGTTAGATAGCGAATCAGGAAAATAAGACGTACTACTGCTTGTTGATTCATGGTGATACTGAAAATAATTTTGTGATACACAGGAGAGATGTGAGAAGTACTCACTCTGGGGGTCAAATATGTTGGGTATACCCCACGAGTATCTTTATTATCCCCATACCTGGTTCAGGTAGCAGAGGTATATCTAGGGACCAAAGGGCTGGGGAGGTACGACATTTATGACCACAGGTAGTAAGATAGCATTTGGTGACTTGCTAGTAAAAACTGGTTTGAAAGGCAGACTTGGTCAGAGTTTTGTGGTACCCGGTAGTGAGGTTGTGGGGTGAGACCCCAGGGTCCTCTCCTACCTCTTGTCACTTGTAGCTCTGGTCCCTCCAAAAGGGATAGGCACAGTTAACAAAATTAACAAAAAGGGACAGGCACAATTGGTCCAGGTGTGGTGGCATCAGGGAGAAAATTCCTGCTCCCAGTTCTTGGGCCCTGTGTCCAGCTTCTCCCAAGATCCTGCAACTAAGGAAAGTTATCAGGGATTGTGTCAGGGACTTGGGC